TATTGTTTAAAAATCCATCCCTGGTCTGTGTGACTTATTATAGGGAATGGTTGGTGGCAGCTTAGTGTAACTGTGTGACATATCCCAGTAGGTCTGGGTTTGTCACATTGATTACCCAGACCTACTGGGATATGTCACACCCCTGACCTAGAGAGTGTTTGAATCATTATGGGGCTGTATGTAGACAGCACAAATCAATGGTGCAGATGGTCATAATCTTCATTCGGTCTCCTGGAGTTAAATTTCCAATGAGTAATGTAATTAACGTGTTTAATTGGTTAATCTGGGAAAGAAAAGATGATATGGTAGGCATTTCTGATTTCTATAACCATAACATTTAGATATTTTATTTACATACAAACAAATGAACACCAGGAAGTCCTAGGCAGGAAGAGGGCTGAGCTAACCCGATGCAGGAGATCATAGAAACAAAAGATTCTCTGTTGCCCTGTTGAAGAATTTGTTATTGCACAGGGTTTGTTACTGCAACCCTTGAAACACAAATTGGTTTAGAGGGAAGCGATGCTCACCTGTTTTTTATTGTAATCTTTAATGGCATTTTCATAGCCTTCCTCCAGTCGTGAAAAGGCTATCCCAACCTCTGTGGTCCACCAGATCTGAGTGCATGTTAAAGCAATCTGCAACAACAGCCAAATGGTAATGATAAGCCTTATGAGATGCTGGAACCATCCTTAGGCAGTGCCCTTTGCCCTCAAATGTGAAGGTATGGTGGTGTGGTGTTAAACCTTATCCAGACCTGATCTTACATTCCAGGTTGCAGAATTAATAGATTACTGTTCTTATATCTTCTGGCCATATTTGCTGCTTCATCTAACCCGTCCATTGTTTCTTTTCTCTCTCTCTTCCTTACAAGGAAGCCTGAGGAAGATGGCAGGTTATGTCAAAGCCCAGAAAGTCCACTGCTTACCTGTGCTGGGTAATCAAATAGCCATTGCTCTCTCGGCTTTTCCTCGTAAGTCACAACAGCTTCAGAAATTTCTTTACGTAAGGTGCTCTGCATTCTCTCCAGCACTCTGTTTAACCAAATCTCCACCTAGATGCAGACATTCCAAGTTAATATTGCATGAAGTGATGCTTCATTCATTCATTCATCCATCCATTCACTCACACACAACTTGTTTTTCTTCATTCATTCATTCATTCACTCACACACAACTTGTTTTTTCACTAAAAGAGAGCACTCAGGGTGGTGTACAAAATTTTCAAAAGAAACAAAGCAGATATTACCAACATTTAGCTAAAACCTTAATTTAAAAAACTATAACAATCAAAATATTTATAGAGATATGTACAGTACTTAAACTCCAAGTCACTTTTTTGCATCAGAATCATGGCATTATTATTGAATAGTTGATACTAGTTCTCAAAAATTAATGTTGGAACGCTAAATGTTAAGACACCAGTTCAAATTTCTCCTCAGTCATGAAAGCAATTGGGCATGCTTTAAGTTATGATGAATATCTCAGGAGCCTCTTGGCACAGTGGTTACCAAGTTGCAGTATTGCAGCCAAGACTCTGCTTATGACCCGAGTTTGATCTGCCTTCTCCAGCTGGTTCATGGGGTGAAAAGGGTTGGGAACCCCTGACCTTGAGAGTGTTTGAATCATTATGGGGCTATATGTAGGTAGCACATTATCTTTCAGCCTAACCTACCCCACAGACCTGTTTAGATACAATGGGATAATTTCCATATATCGTTCAATGAGCAACTTACAAACACAGTGGGGCAAACAGCATGTCTTTTTGTTGTGCTCTGTTGATTTTAAATGTGTTTTCAGTATTGGTTTTAATTGCTGTTCTTAATATAATACTTATTTAATTCTTTTGAAATATTTGTAAACTTACTGCATTTAGCTTTAAAATATTGTATGTTTAACCATGTAAGCTGTCTTGGGTCCTTTTAAGGAGAAAGGTGGGGTAAAAATATTTTAAACAAACAAAGTCCTTATCAGATTTATTGGCTTATCAGATTTATTGGCTTGTTTTGTAATGGCTTTTAATTTATTTATTTTGTGAGCCACCCAAAGAACATGTCTTTACAAGGTGACTATATCCAAATCATACATATAGAGGGGTGGGCAGAGTCATGGTGTGGGGAAACCACATTGTGCCCTTCAAACCTGGGGGAACACACCTTTTAGTCCACTCTAGCTGTTGTTGCAAAAGGATCCTGTACCCCTGAGGAGCAGAGCATCTCACAGGGTTCTGTTACTAAAGGAAGAAAAAGGAAAACTGGAAGAATCCTGTCTTATGATATGGGTGGTTTAGCTTGTTATGTGAGCAGCTGATTATTATTTGACTGTAAGAGGAGCTGCAAATATGTCTCCATGCATCCATGACATTAAAAAAATGAAAACCAAACCAAAACATTTCTAAATGTGCAGATTGTCCAGTGCCACCATTGGGAAGCAGCAGAGTTGACCTGAAGTAGGGATAGCAGGATCAACCATTTCTGTTGCGAGAGGTGTGTGAACACTGTTCTCTGCAAGGGAAGATGGATGAACATTCTGCTTGGCAAGGATGGAAATCAGTTTATACAACTGAAGCTGAATTTTAAAGAAAGAGCCCACCAACCTGTCCAGAACAGTCACATTCCTTGTCAAAATCAACGTACTCATCTTCTTTGCTGTACATTCCTATGCCAATCTTCAGAGGCTTCCCATTCGCATCTAATTTGAATTTCAGCTTGGCCATACTATCAAATAGCTTGGATAAGTGACGGCACACCTTAAAGAAATTAGGGTGCAAAGTATTATATAAGTCAGAGCATGAGGCGTTCCTTCTAAGAAGAATGTATAGAAGGACACGTGTTAACCAGACAGTGGTATGATGGTGCCGGGGAGGGGGTTAGAAATAATCCTTCAGCAATCCACATATGTCCTCCAAATGCAGATGTGGGAATCATGTACCACTGCCTGTCTCTGTCTCATAATTTGGGAACTCCTAGGCTGCAAGGGCCTAGACATCAGGGTGAGATCCAACCCTATCTGTACTACTGCCTTCAACTGCTGATCTCAATTGTATGTCTCATTTACAGTTTCAACTGAGCTGTGACTTTTCCTTTGGATAAATCAGCTTTTCTGTCTGTCTCCTTGCTTGCTTGCTTTCAATAAAAAGAGGTCTGAGATCCAAACACCCAAACTCTTTTACAGAAATTCTATAGAACGTTCCTTCCTTCCATAACGTACCTCAACAGGATCGTTGCCATTGGATAAAATATCCAACAGGTCAGCTGACGACACGAAGTAAAATCTCGGGAAAGCCAGTCTCTTTGTTTCCAGGTATTCAGCCAAAGCCTTCTCACAGAGTGCCAAACTAACAGTCAGAAAGGAAAAGTGAGTGGAAACACTGCTATGTTGGCTCTTGAAAAGTGCACTGTCTTAGTTATTGCTCGTTCTGTGCCATTAATGTACCTGATCTATAAAGCAGTTAGTTGTAAGCCACTTGGTGCCTCCAGATGTTTTCGCTGTGTGGACATTCCATGCTCATGGTTCACAAGAGAACAGCAGGAATGGTGGGTCACCTAAGGAGCTTTCCAGGTGGAAGCACCCGAAACCAGATGTTTTCGCTGTGTGGACATTCCATGACAATTTTACTCATGGTTCACAACAGAACAGCAGGAGTGGTGGGTAACCTAAGGAGCTTTCCAGGTGGAAGCACCTGAAAGTCATCTTTGTTGAATCTCACAGCACAGCTCTGGCATTTGTCACATTTCACACTGTTTGAAAATGGAGGTAATGCTTCCTACTCTGTTTCTCTTCAGCTGTGATTGATGGCTGCAACATAACATGGCTGTTACCGAAACCCAAAATTTGGCAGGGCTTCTGCTGTAATCTACATTTGGAGTTGAAAGGCAGCTTGAACAGATTGAAACCAGAATGCATTCCTATACATCTGAACTTCTGCAGTCTATCAGTTGTTTCTTCAACTAGTAGATAGTGTTTAATTTACAGTTGTGTTTTGACAAAAAATTTTTTTGCTAGAAAATAAAATATTCCTGACCTTTGCTGCAGGGCCTCCAGCTTGTCATAGAGACCTGGTTTATTTGTTGCTTCAACTACGTTGGGAGTTTTCACTGCATCAGCCATTAATTCCTGCCGAGAAAAGAAAATACAGTATATTTATTAGCAACCATGAAACATTATTTCTGCAAATGAAGATCATATAAAAAGGAAGGCTTGCTCGCCTTAAAATCTTTGTCAATGGAATCAAAACGCCTAGAATCCTCAGGAAGCTGGTTTCGAATATCTTCTGACCCAATGAAAATGCTCTCCAGGTGACTCCAGGTTCTTTGGACTTCAAACCAGATAGATATGACAGAATCAGCAGTAGACAATTTCTGCTGCCAGCTGGAGACTTCCTGAAGGAAGTGGGCCAAATACTTAGAAGTCATCAGATTCTGGAGCTGCACTTGGTTTTCTTCAAGGGTTTCTACAAGTACTTCATCAGACTTCAGCATCATGGTTCCAGTCCTAGGATGGGGCTCATGTTCAAACTGCATAGTGGACCAGGTACTGTCAAGAGCCTTCAGTACCTGTGAATTAAAAAAACAAACAAAACAGGAAGAAATGGTTTAGTCCAATAACATTTATAAAAGTTTAGGAAGAACAAGCTCTTTGGCATCAGGCAGAGCTGGCACCACCTTCCACCAGTTTAGGAACAGCATCCATAAGAATGGTACCACACCTCCCAGAAGCCTGCTCTATGGTCACTACCCACCTCAGTGAGTAGGAAAGCCTCCACTGATGACCTCAACGCACTTAGACACGTTGGTGTGAGAACAAGTGCTCCTTTAGGGAACAAGGTACCAAAGCAACACAGGATATTGAAAGCAAATATAGGCATTTTCAACTGTACTCATAAGGGAACTAGCATCCAGTGCAGTTTTTTTTGAGCAATATATGGCCCAAATATGAGATCCTAGTCAACATAGGTGGCCTGTGCTATGAAAGGGAGGGTGTCTCACTCTGACATTTTGGGTGCTTGAAGCAGGCTGATAGCAGACTAGATTATTATTTGAAAAATCAGAGCTGGTTAATATCTTTTTTATTATTATTATTTCAAGGGTAAAGGGAAATACCTCAGGATAACAGCGAATATATCATGCTATACATTATCACATATTATCTGTACTTAAACATATCATTACATTAAAGACTTTTGTGTCTGTTAGTTGCTTATAATAATTCCAACTAGAGTTATTTGACTATTTTGTATTAAAATTATCACATTTGGCTTTCAGGTTATAGAAGAGATCCAGTTATATATAGGGTCCCATTTTTCAGTTGCTTCTTGGATTAAATTGCCTTTGTCCCATTTTTCAGTTGCTTCTTGGATTAAACTGCCTTTCAAAGCTTCTGTTAACATGTCCATCTCCGCCACTTCTATAATCTTTTCCACTAGTTCTTCACGATTTGGTATTTCGGTTTTCTTCCATTTCCATGCATATAGCTGCAGCTATTATATGTATTATCAAATTTTTCTCTTTTCTATCTAAGATTTCCATGCATATAGTATTCTGGCTGCAGCTATTATATGTATCACCAAATTTCTCTCTTTTCTATCTAAGCTCTCCGATAACATATTTAATAAGAATAATTCTGATTTAAATAGTATATTACGTAGCAGAATTTTCTGTAAACATTCATGTATTAGTATCCAATAATTTTTTGCTTCACTACATGTCCACCACATATGATACAAGGTTCCCTCTTGTAATTTACATTTCCAAGAGTTGGGTAATATCTTTATTGGACCACTCATATGTCTTTAAAAAGGGAAGACTTTGACATCAGAACTCTTCTGGAAGCTAAGCGTTATCGAACTTGGGACCTGGGAAGAAACAGATAAGTCCAGAAATCATTCTGGCCGATGTACTGCCGGTATTGCCTAACCTGACTGACTTGAAAGCTAGCCTTTAAAAGATATTTTAATGGTCTGATGAAACTATTAATGGAACTATCCAAATATGATTTTTCATTCTAGTAACAGACTATATGGTTACAATTTTCTTCCATTTGAAACTTGACTGCCTGCTGCCTTGCACAGAGATAGGCAATCAATTTTTGCCTGTCTCCATTCCAAGAGAGAGACTACTTCCCATGGGTGAAGACTGTCCACAAAAGAAGAAAGGGAAACATGGATGAAAATTGAACTTTTAAAAAATACTTATAGTTCCCATTGTTTTTTCCTCTGTATGTAACATTGCAGGAATTTTTAGAAGTCATTGATTTAAAAAATCTTTGTCAATATATCTAACAAAGTTCTCTTCTAGCATTTTTAGAGAGGTGAGGCTGTGACTACACTAGCCCTTTGGAAGCGTTCTGGTGTGATCTAAATAGGGTTGCTTGAGCTCAGGGGATGGAATGATATGCCATTTGGTGCAATCTTCACATCCAAATGGCATACAGACCTCAAATGACCCTATCTAGTCTGGCTCTTCTGCTGTCAATTTCTGATACCATGAAATGGTTTAATAAGTGAGCCACTTCAGGATACTGGCAAATTGAATGCTTCCTCTACTTCTCTGTGAGAGGCAGGGGAAGAGAAAGTACTGCTTTGTCCCTGCTAGACCATTTTTAAAGCACAGAATCACTGAAATTTAATTATTTTTTAATTATTTGCCTTGTGTGTAGTGCCAATATAGAAACTGCCTACACCTGCAGTTTTGATCAGCACTTCACAGAAAGGCAAAGAACATATTATTGTAATTTAATCTAAGTGATTCAGTGCATCAGTAATAGTCTAGCAGAAGCAAATAATAATAATTTCACTTTTTCTGCCCCTCCATAGAGAAGCAGAAGAAGAATTCAATCTGCTGATATCCTGAAGTGGCTCACTTGTTAAGCCATTTCCTGAAACCAGAAATTGGCAGCAGATGGAGCCTTGGCAGTTTTGACAGCCTGCAAGGCTCCGTTTTGGTCTGTTCCCAGTGATCTCATGCACTGGAGATGGACCAAACTAGAGTGCACCTATCCACACCAAAAAGTAGCTCAAAAAAGGTGTGGGTAGGGGTGTTCTACAGATGGACTGGTTTGCTCTGGTGATCAGGTTGTCTGTTCATTGAAAAAAGAGACTGAATCAACCCATCCACACTGCACACTAGTGAGCCAAATGCTCACCTGATCAGGCGCTAGAAACACAAATGTTGAAGCATTGTTTAAAGTCATAATTTCATACTGATTCTTCTATACTAAACAAGGAGGTAGGTGATGGGCATGATATGACAGAAATAGTACCTTTTCCATCCCCGACTCTTTCACAGCCTTGTCTACAATACTGCGAACTTCATCCTCAAATTTGTGGAGATTCAGTTGAAGTAAGTCTGCAAGCGTTGTTTCTTCTGACATGGTAAACCTCACCTGGTACACAAGTACATGTTGGAAAGATAATCAGATCAGACATTTCCCATTAATTTGCATCTCAAAAGGTTATCACACAAAGTTCACTGGCCTTACTTTCAAGTAAGTGAGTGCAAGTTCGCAGTCTTGGACAATGTGCAAGACAAGAAAGTAGCAGAATGAGTTTTGTAGAAATATTTTACTCACTGTACTTTAAAAGAGATATGTTAATCTCAAAAAGAAAAAAAAGCCATTCTGTGATCAATATTACTGCATGTCTTTAGCAAGCACTCTTTTGTCAAAAGGTACCAGGTGCCTAGATTGCTTACTACACCATACTTGAGACTGGAACAATCAAATAAAGCTAGTCGTATGTCTGAGGAAGCGGACTTGTCTACAAAAGCTCACAATAAAATACAGCAATTAGTCTTTAAGATACCACAACATTTTTATTCTTTATTTTTTACTTTGCTTTGTTTTTGCCTGATATGCTGGCACAGACTAACATGGCTACCTCTTCTAAGTCCATGAAAGGTATTTAGAGACCTAGAAACCATCTGTTTCTTAGAAGTTCTGTGTAATGGCTTTCAGTAAGTCAGAACATAAATCAAACTCAAGATATCCAAGACCCAACCTCCTGCCCGTCCTTCTTAACAACACAAAGAGGGAGGTCCTCTTATGACCCAATAGGCCACCATAATTATCTCAGGTTTAGTTGATGAAGAGATAAAATAGCAGTACTAGAATTACGGAAGAGTAATTGGGGTTGGGTTGAGTAAGGTCACCATTTCAGACCCAGGTTTAAGGGAATGGTTAAGAGGAGGAAACCATTTGGTGTTATGCTGGGGATTGCCCCTGATCTGTTTTTTTCCCCAAAAAACATTAAAGAACTACTTTAGACCAAAAGACATATTGTAAGAAAGTAACTTACAGGCAAAGGGCTTTGACTAGAAAATTAACTAAGAGTTAGACATTTTAAACAACAATATTAAGATTCAGAGGCACCTGCTATAGAATATGTAGGTTACCTGAGTGGCCTCCATGAGTTCTTTCCAGTGCCTGTCTCGGATTGCTGGATTCTGAAGGTCGCTCACAGCTCGAAGGGAGGTGATCATATTTTTAACTGTGTTGTCCAGTCCCACAAACGCATCCCATGGTCTCATTTCCTTGTCCAAACTTCTCACATCCTTAGCAAATTTCTTGGAATCCAGATCCATCTGCTCAACGTTAATCTCCTTCCATTTCGTTGTCTTCCAGTCATTAATGCTTTCATTTACCTGAATTAGAATACATGCATACTTCCATAAACGCATGCATACACATTCCTATTCTTTCCCCAAAAGTGTTAACTTATTCACATGGAGGAAAAGTACCCCTGTTAGGACTGCTTCTTTTGGTTATTTTACCTCTCTGTCCAATTAACACAAGGCTACATTCAATCAGATTTGTGACTTTTCTTTTTCTACCATGCTTTTTTATTTCTCTGGATTGTATTCCAGGACAGAGCAGTGAGCACAGCAGATGAAACTCCGGGGGCAGCACTACTCTGAGCTATATTTCACAGAGAATGTAGTAACCGAAGAAGCATTAAATAACATTGAGTGACTGCCTGTCTTGGAAGAGTTGGACAGCGAACCAACTTTAGCAGAAATAAAGGTGGCCTTGGATTCCCTCGCCTCCAGCAAGGCACCTGGAAAGGATAACATCCCTACTAAAGTGCTGTAAAGAGGTCATCACAACTGGGCTGTATGAAATCTTTTCTCTTTGCTGGAGGGAAGGTGGAGCACCACAAGACATGAAGGATGCAAACATCGTCACATTGTATAAGAACAAAGGAGATGGGGCGACTGCAGTAACTACCGTGGCATCTCTCTTCTCAGTGTTGTAGGAAAGCTGCTTGTCTGTGTTGTGCTGAAGAGGCTCCAGGTGCTTGCAGACAGAGTCTATCCAGAATCACAGTGTCGATTTCAAGCTAATAGATCCACCATTGACATGGTATTCTCCCTCAGACAGTTGCAGGAGAAATGTAGGGAATGATGACAGCCACTCTTTGTGGCCTTCATTGATCTTACAAAGGCCTTTGATTTGGTTAGCAGGGACGGCCTTTTTAAAATACTTCCCAGGATAGGATGTCCACCTCGACTCCTTAACATCAACAGGTCCTTTCATGAGCAAATGAAGGGCACTGTAGTTTTTGATGGCTCAGCATCAGATCCCTTTGACATCCGAAGCGGAGGGAAACAGGGCTGTGTCCTTGTGCCAACCCTGTTTGGGATCTTTTTTGCTGTCATGCTGAAGCATACCTTTGGGACTGCAACAGAAGGTGTCTCTCTCCAGACTAGATCAGATGGAAAGCTCTTTAATCTCTCTAGATTGAGAGTGAAGACCAAAGTCCAACTGAAATGCATGCGGGACTTCCTCTTCGCCAATGACACAGCTGTTGTTACCCATTCTGCTGAAGACCTCCAACGACTCATGAATCATTTTAGCAAGGCCTGCCAAGATTTGGGACTAACAATCAGCCTGAAGAAAACACAAGTCATGGGCCAGGGTGTGGACTCACCTCCCTCTATTACCATCTCCACACAAGAATTGGAGGTTGTTCATGATTTCGTGTACCTTGACTCAATAATCTCTGACTCTCTCTAGATGTCGAGCTGAATGAACACATTGGCAAAGCAGCTATCATGTTCTCTAGACTCACAAAGAAGTATGGCTTAAGAAACTGATGGCATATTTAAAAATATAGGTCTATAGAGCCTGTGTCCTGAGTACACTCCTGTACTGCAGTGAGTCCTAGACCCTTTGAGCATGGCAGGAGAGGAAGCTGAACATGTTCCATATGCATTCTCTCCAATGCATTTTTGGTATCACCTGGCAGGACAAAGTTCCAAATAGAGTAGTCCTAGAATGAGCTGGAATTGTTAGCATATTGTTGTTTAGTTGTTATTCACATGAAGGAAAAATACCCCTGTTAGGACTGCTCCTTTTGGTTATTTTACCTCTCTGTCCAATTAACACAAGGCTACATTCAATCAGATTTGTGACTTTTCTTTTTCTAGAGTGTCTGACTCTTCGTGACCCCATGGACCAGAGCATGCCAGGCCCTCCTGTTAGCATGTATACATTACTGAAACAGTGATGTCTATATTGGCTCAGGCATGTCGTGAGAATGGCTGATGGTCAGATTCCAAAAGTTCGCCTGTATGGAGAATTAGTGCAGGGAAATCACCCCAGAGGGAGACCACAGCTGCGATACAAGGACATCTGCAAGCGGGATCTGAAGGCCTTAGGAACGGACCTCAACAGATGGGAAACCTTGACATCTGAGCGTTCAGCCTGGAGGCAGGCAGTGCAGCATAGCCTCTCCCAATTTGAAGAGACCCTTGTCCAGCAGGCCAAGGCAATGAGGCAGTCCTGAAACCAGCAAAATCAGGGAGCTGGACAGGGGACAGACTGTATTTGTCTTCAGTGTGGAAGGGATGGTCACTCTCAAATTGGCCTTCTCAGCCACACTAGACGTTGTTCCAAGTCCTCTATTCAGAGCACGTTACCATAGTATCTCAAGACTGAAGGATACCTAATCTAAAGGATTGTATTATTTTCAACCAGGCTTTGTTGTGGGAAGTAGAGCTTAACATGACAGTGGTTCCCAGGGTGGGTTCATTTCCATGTCAGGAGATCCTACCTTTGAAGCCTTTAATTACATCTGCATTCGCTTTTTTTAAAAATGGTGGTGGTGAGGGGTCCAGAGGCAAAGGTGCAGAGAAGAAGGAGCTTTAAGTCTCTCCCTCTTTCCCAAGGACACTATTTTTAAGGACCTGGCTTTTGCAAGTCAATGCAGACATTAGCATCTTTTAGGACGAGCTATACCTACTTATGCTCATTTACTGCAATAGTTTTGCCCATAGATAACTACTGTATCCAGTTAAACAGAGAAGATACACTCATGGGTTCCAGAAGGAGGGCATTTTTAGTGTTGGGCATGTATGAAATTCTCCCCCCAATTTCTTTGTCTCTCTGTCATCATTGGTTTGCTTGCTTCTTTGCTTGTTTAAGTTGAAGACCTCTAAAATATAATTCCATGTGTTATTAATTGCTGCTTGTAGATTTTTTATTGCTATTTGCTTTAGAGATTTGTGCATTTGTATTTTAAGAATAGTACCTTTATTATAATTTTTATATTGCATTATGTTCCATTTATTATTGATACGCAACCTTGTTAGAACTTTAAGCCCTAAAAGGTGCTTTAGAAATCTGTTAAATAGCTATAGCTATTTAAAATAATCTTGTAGTGTCTCATGGATTTTTCTAACTTCAAAGGGAACAGAAATGTTGCAATATGCCTTTCCCAGATGCTGGGGAAAAGAGATTGTTTCTTCAGCCTTTCACTACTCCCGGTCCCAGGGAAAGCACTGTTATCTCCAAAACCTTTGTCACAAGGTGATAGCCTGTTTAAAGAGAAGGTGGGTTCCTATGCAGGAAAATGAGAGCCCATCGAATTTACTTTTAAGAAAGTAAAGCGAAGAGCCAATGGCCCAGAAATTGACCCATCACCATATTGAGAAGGAAATATCCTTGATGTATGCACTGCTGATCTGATGCTTAAGGACTATATGTGCTCTCTTGTATGAGTGATACAGCAGAGAGGTACTTGTCTGTTGCTGAAATAAATGGAGAAAATGCCTGCACTTAAAGAATAAATGAAATTGTTCTTTGGAATATCAGCAGAGGGTGCTAAATAACTTTTCCATTAGAACAGAAGTACATAAGAACTATTATCTATCCTTTTTGCCCCCAAAGTCTTATTGTAGTTCTTTTGCCTATATCTCAGTCAAACTACACAAAACAGCATGTTTTTAGGAGAGGTGCTTTTTTTCAAATGAAGAAAGGCCTCATCTTGCATTTCATGGAGCAGAGATTACAAATATCTCAACTGACTTTCAGCCGTGATTAACAATCCCCTTAGTATTACACATTCCTTACTGGAAATTGTATTCTATGAATGAGAAAGTACTAAAACTGATAGTGCCATTTTGTGATAGTTCACACAAATATAGCTAGAGAGCAAGCAGAAGCAAACAGACACATCTGCAAGGCAGCCAGCCTTCGAGCACTGCTAAGCTACTGCTTCTCACCTATTTTGCCTGTAGCGCAATTCAGGCAGTAGTCTGAGAACTGCAATCCAACTACATTCGAAGGGCCACAACGTGCCCACCACCTTTTGCAAAGGAACACAATCTTTTCAGAGTCTGGATCCTAGGTAGGCAACCCTGTCAGGCAAAATCTTCTTGATAAAGCCACTCACTGCAATCCGACAGTAGACTCACGAGAAGAGATTCATCTTTCCAATTTACAGGCCTGACTTAAATGTAATTGCATCATATAAGCTCATAGCAAAAGCTGGGATTTTGACTTCAATATGCTCATTTAACTGTGGTAGAATGCAAAATTTGCTGTAGGGGTTTAGAACAACTTATTAACTTTCTCTACGAATGACAAATTCAAGGTCTTACCAAGACGATCATGTCCCAGAGCTCCTTGAGCAAGCGCACCTCCTTATGGCAGGCCTTCAGTTGTTTGTAGTCTGGGACAGAGACCTCAAACAAACCTGCGGATTTGGACAGGGCTTCCATCTCTTTTTCCATAGTAGTAATCATTTTTTGTTGCTAGAAGTAGAAAAGAGAAAGGCATTAGCTAATGCTTCAGGCAGATGAATACAGATGTTATGCTAGTGATGGTAATGATTAGCTGCCTGTCTTGCCATCTCAGCACATGTTACTCTAATATAATTTGTGCCAAGGCCAACATGCAAGCAAGATAGCGATGGAGGGGCAAGTGTCGTAACTTGCTTCTAGGGACTCAACTGCTTAGCTGCCCTGTAAATTAAATTAGCCTCTGCTCCGCTGAAGTCTCCTTGATGAATAATTGGTGGAACATGCCCTCATTCTCACTGGTGACTGACCATATGAGTATGCAACTTCATACAGGGAAATCACTGAGCCCACATGCCTTTGCAGCTATTTGGCTTTGGCCCAAAAAGCATGATGCTTCTTTTGTGCTACAGGACAGATACAGAAATATTGCTAGAAAGATTTTTAGCATCCTTTATTAGTTACCTTATTTAGGGATTTATAGGGGTCTGGGTCAACAAAAGTGAAGGGCGCATCTACTCGGAATTTCTCCCTGAATTCATGTTGTTTAATCTAAAAAAAAAAAAAAGGAAAAATAAAGGAGAGCAGCACAGTTAAGCAAGACCACATAGGCTAGCACTTGGGAAGATTAGAATTGTAATCGATAAGGATGGTGCTATATTACATGTAAAGAGTGGGCAAGACAAGGGCCTTTGTGGGTAACTACTCTCTAAAATATTCCCAGTGTGGCACTCTGCAGCCAGATGCCTAAACCACTGATATTCCATATTCAAATACTTCAAAACATAGCATACAAGGACCCGCTCTACCATTGGGCAGAGTGAGGCAGCCGCTTCAGACAACAGGTTCTTTGTGATATGGAAAACCAGCAAATGGTTATTACTGTTGTTGTATTTCTTTTATTGTATTGTTGGCAAGAATTCTATGAGTTATGCCTGTGAACACAACTTGGGCTGTGGTCACACCAGGCAAATATTCCCCTATTCTAACAATACATTTCATCCCTTTGTTGTACTGAATCACAGCTGTACGATATATATGCCTAGGCAAATGTCCCAATGTGTTTTAACATTACAAATTCATTTTCTCCTATTTGAATAGTTATGACCAGCTACACCATGGTATCGATTTATCTTCTCTCTTGTTTTCTGAGGCAGTGCGGCATCTTACTCTATTTTAAAAAAATGCAATGTTACCTTGATATGTCAGGTAGGGCTTCCTGTTTGGTAAAATTTTCTCTGTTGCGCTGGTGCCTCTGGGAGAACTGCATTGCACTCAATGGACCTAGCACCCTTATCCAGGGCTGTGTCACTTGTCAGATAATAGGTGGAGTTATGCAACACCTACCAATGCCTTTAAAACTGTTGACATAAGTTTACTTACGTATCAATATACCAGCCATGATTTTTTTTTAATTATTAAAGTTCAGCCACATAGCAATAATGGTGGCCACCTTCCACAGTAACTTGACTTCAGAAAAAAATTAATAGGGTTGTGCCCACATGTCATACCAATAAGGAATAAATTGATACACCATTGGACAAAATAACACAAGCCTCCCAGCAAGGAGAAAATAAACCACAGTTACACTGCTAGCCAGGTAAATGATTCAATAATGGCCCTGAGTTGTGTGACCACAAATTTATACAACAATCTAACTGCAATAGGGAACATTTGCCTCATGTGTTCATGTCCTCAGTCAAGGCAAATCTCAGCAGTGAATTGCCACAAGTAAAGAACCCAGAGCAGGACAGTTTGCTGTCCTCTGAAGATGCCAGCCGCAGAGACTGGTGAAATGTTAGGAAGAACCACTTTCAGAACACGGCCAAGAAGCCCAAAAACCCCACAACTATTTGCTGTGTGTTGAATTGCATAACTAGGCAACCGACTGCAAATGCCTATACTGATTTCTTCTACTTGGAGCCATCTGCTGCCAAGATTTACACTGATTGTGTTACACTGGTGGAACCAGCTTTGGAAAGTACTGTATACACCCCAAAATTACCTCAAACTGCTGGCATTTCCTTCGGATGATTGTAACTTCATTTGCCTGCAAAGGAGCCACGTTCTGTTTTGCTTGGAATGACAATTTTTTAGTGTTATTCCATTGCTCTGGTAATTCCTAAAAAAAGAAGCCAAAGGAGAACTTTTGAAATATTGTGCTCACACAACTGTGAGAGAGACAGGTGTTTAAGAAAACAAATACAGGCAGCCACACAATGAGACAGGGAGACAAAAAGATCAAGCAGCAAGTAATAATAAAGGGGGATGTAAACTTTCATCTATTTCAGATTTGCCCTCTGAACAGAGTTAATAAGGAATGTAATCTAGGAGGGAAGATAAAACCATCACCGTATTCAAAAATCATGCATGGCTTCAGTGAGTTACAATGAGACCAGATGGCAATCACTGGCAGATTCTGTGGAACCGATGCATGTGCAGGTTTTGGCCAGTTTCCTTCTTTCTGCACCTACATGAATATATTTTAAAAGTATATCACATCTGGAATCATTTGCCTCCACAAAAAGAAATGAAGTCTTTCCTTTTGCTAACAAAAAACAAACAAAAACAAAAACACTATAATTGGTTAAAAGCAGCAATGTCAACATTTCTCCAATGAAAAATATTCAATCACTTACATGCAACTGCATATGGATCTCTTCAGGCATTTCTTCTCCATACAGTTTTAGCAACTCAATAGTTTGCTTCAGAGGCTCAAACATATTGTCAGTGGCTACTTGCCTCTCTTTGACCCTCATCAAGTGTCCCATCACTTCCACAAGCCCATCATAGTCACCTTCTTTCAAAGGTTTAGTCAAGCCTGCATTGGCTTCTTTCATGAAAGCAGCAAGACCCTGAAGGCTGTAAAGGAAGGAGCATGTTCCCATTAGGACAACCTGGAGGCTTCAGGAGCAAGGGAAACAGAAGGAAACACACATCTCTAGAAGGGTAGCAGCCATCTTTGGCTGTTATAGTGAAAATAATAAAGAGTCTTGTGACACCTTAAAGGCTAACAAACGTAACATGGCAGACATACACTGGCCATTCTCTCTGGGAGTGGAAGAGGATGCCTGTGAGATGAGTGACTCCCTCCACCTACTTTGAGGAGGCAGGACTTCCTGAATTTCAGCTGGGATTGGCAGGCAAAGAGAGATGCCCTCTCAGTTTTGGAGGAGATACGCTTATAATAATTGTCATGATTTACTTCAGTAACCAAAAGGCAAAGTCCAATAACCCAGTCTAAGGTCAGAAGCCAGAGAATACATCAGAACCAGCAGTAATAATGCTGGAGTCAAGGAATCACAAAGATGAGTCCAGGTCTAGTCCAAGGGTCAAGACAGCTCCAGGAAATACCAAAGCAAGTTGCAAGTAAACACAACAATTGTTTCCTACACTGATTCAGCATGGGAGCCTGCCTTATATGGGGAGTCCATGCCTTTACATTGCTCTCAGCTGAAGTCCTTAGCTAGGATCCTTCAGTAATTACACATTGGTCTCAGCTGAGCCCTTAACTGAAACACTACACTAATAAACTTAGAACTGCAGAGCTGGAAGGAACCCTACGGATCCCTTGAGTCCAGCCCCAGTCAAGGAGGCACAGTGGGGAATTAATTAAACTCTCAATCTCTGGCTCTATGGCCAGAGGAATAAATCCCTGAGCTATCCACCACTCTGTGAGGCACATACTCAGATATATTAAAGTTTTAGTTTATTATGTAGTTTTCCAGAGCAGCTGAGTTTATTCTTCAGTTGTGAGATCACCACCATCTCATGCATACAGTGAGGACACAGTTCCTGGTTTAAGTCTGCATCCTGCTTTTACAGAGGAGGGAAGGAGAGGAAGAAAGGCCATCTTCATCCTTGGGTTCTAATTCTTGGAACTTGGGGCTTTCTTAAGTGACAATTCATCCAAGGTTTGTATATTAGGCACAATATCAGAGGTGGGTGATCTCAGAGGAACTGATGGTCAATTTGGTGTGGTTAAAGAAGTTAATTGCAGGGCTTTCTGAACATGGGAAAATTCCCACCTCCTTGAGGACACAACCTGGAGGCTTCAGGAGCAATTCCCATACCTCCTTGAAGATTTTTTTCCCCCAAGTAAATAAAAGGGGGAAATGTTGAGGTGCTGTGGGCTTGCAAAAAATTGCTCTGGGAGACTGTATGCAGCTTGTGAGCTACACGTTGTCAGCCTCTGCACTACGTAGTTGTAGGAAATTACAATGAGCATATGTGGGTGTTGGAGAGGGGAGCTGTAATATTAGAATGGTTTCCAGGTTGCCCGAATAGTTTCTCATCCTACCTGGTGGTGACATGGTCAATGAGGTGCTGTTTGAACATCAAGCTCCAGCGCTTGATGGTGTTTAGAAGTGCTTGCTTGAAGGGACGACAATCACTTTGTAACCAACCATTGAACACTTTGGTGTTTTCAAATTTGGACACCTCTTCATAGAGCTTTTCGTACGTGTCAATCTAGATCACAAAAAGTCACAGGAGAAGAGAGTACTATAGCTGGCAAAAAAGAGAGTTTACTTACATATAACCATAGTTCTTTGAGTGATACTTTGCGAATCTACACAAATGGGTTAAACTGCACCTGCGCAGGACTCTGGAATATTCTAGAGCTTAAATAACTGACCAATAGAATGTTTCCCCATGGAGCACATGCCCCGCCCGCCTGTGGTACCTCAGTTCCGAACATCCGCCACTGTCATAGCTCTGAAAATTACAAAGCTCTAGACAACCCGTGACAGACAGCGGGGAGGCTGGGCGGCAAAGATGATGATGGCTGGTGTGCCCCACTTGTTGCAGATATGGGAGAACACAGAGTTGTTGAGAACCCACTCATGGGTTTGAGAGGTTAGGCAGTTCAGGCAACCAGCCACATTGTTATCCTTTGTCGATACGTGGATGGTGACCAGAAATATGTGGTGATCCAACCCCTCCCAAAGGTGGATCGCTAAATATAGAAGGGACAAAGAGTGAATGCTTCCCTGCTTGTTTATGTAATACAGAGTGGTTGTGTTGTCTGTAGCCACCTGTACTCCACAACCGACCATGAGAGGATAGAAGGTGCACCAGCCACATTGTTATCCTTTGTCGATACGTGGATGGTGACCAGAAATATGTGGTGATCCAACCCCTCCCAAAGGTGGATCGCTAAATATAGAAGGGACAAAGAGTGAATGCTTCCCTGCTTGTTTATGTAATACAGAGTGGTCGTGTTGTCTGTAGCCACCTGTACTCCACGACCGACCATGAGAGGATAGAAGGTGTGAAGAGCCTTGTTTATTGCCAACATCTCGAGATGATTGATGTGTAGCAGCTTCTCTGAGCTGGACAACAAGGTGTGGATCTCATGAATGCCACAATGCATGCCCCAACCCATCAGGCTGGCATCCGTCATGATCTGGACTGTCACCTGATGGGGCCTGAAGGGTTGGCCAATTAGAAGATGCGGCATGAAAGTCCACCACATCAGTTGACTTGCTAACTCTGGAGTCACATGTAGGTGTTTGGTAGGGTTGTCTAATAGAGGATTGAACTGAGACAGGTACCACACCTGCAGAGAGTGCATCTTCAACCTAGCGTGAGGGAGAACAGATGTGGTGGAAGCCATGAGGCCTAAAAAGAATAGCCTGGCTCAATTTGTAAATCCTTTTGGAATGAAGGAAGACCCTGGCTCTGTTGGAATCAGCAAGCGCCGATGTAGTCCATTGTCTGAGACGGTTGAAGGTGGGACTTTGCAAAGTTGACCTGGAGCCCTAGATCTGACAGAGTTTGTAGAATAAAATGTGCATCCTCCTGTGCCTTGGTGTAAGAGCCAGCGATGATCAACCAGTTGTCTATATAAGGAAAGACCATGATATTATGCAGACGGAGGTAGGCTGCTACTGGAGACAAACACTTTGTGAAGGTCCTTGCTGCAGTGGCAAGCCCGAATGGTAGGGCGCAGAATTGATACACTGAGTTCATGAAGATGAAGCGTAGATATTTGCAATGACACTCGTGGATGGAAATATGAAAGTAAGTGTTCTGTAAATCTATCACCACAAACCAATTGCCTGCAGAAAGAAGCGGATTGACTGACTCTAAGGTGACCATTCGGAAACGCCTTGGACGAAGGTAAGTATTGAGGAACTGGAGATCTAAGATTGGTCCTAGTCCACCATCCTTCTTGGGAACCATAAAATATCAGGAATAGAAGCTGTCCAGTGCTTCTTGAGAAGAAATGCATTGAATAGCATGCTTCTGGAGAAGAACAGAGACTTCATTTTCTAGAGCAGGTGAGTAAGCTGTGATCTTGAGGCAACCAATAGAAGGAAGATCTGAGAACTCTAAAAGATAACCAAAATGTATGACGGCAAACACCCAAGTGTCTTTGGTGATGATAGACCACTTGTCAATGAAAGGGGCTAGCCAGGGAATGCACCCATTTGTGTGCATTCACAGAGACCGCGAAGAAGAACACATGGTTTCTACTTGTATGCCAGCCTCAGAAACAAGTAAGAAAACTATCTGTTGCTTCTAAGCTAGTCAAACAAACCTATCTCAGGCTAAATTCTACTGACAGTAAAAATTCAAATCTGCAATGCAATTCAGTCATCACTCCAGCACAAGGTAAAGCCAACCATAATCTAAAATGATCCCCAGCCTTGATAGTACAGGAACAGCATAAGACTCTCTGCTTTCATCCTATCAAGGGGATGTTACCCTTGAACTAGACAGATATGGTTTTGATTTTAGGAAGATAATTGTATTTTCAAAATGGAAATTTAAAGTTTATAGTTTTTTACGGTTTTGCTCCCAGCAAAACTAGGGGCCATTCCTGTTGAATGCTTCTTTGTTACAGCCCTAGCCCAAGAAAAGATATATCACCTCTCTCATACAAGAGTATGACTTGTTTTTCTGTGAAACAAGAAATGGAACAGGAAATATATCTACAGAGTGGATACTGGAAAGTGCATGGTATAGTTTAGCCATATGAAGAATGGGGATTTGAAAGAGTGCATGGAGCTTCCCCCACACTATACAAGTGGATAAAGTTCTCCAGTGGGTAATGCTTTAATTAGATCACTGAAAACATACAAAAAGGTAAGCTTTTTAAGTCTTCTGGAACTCTTCTACACCCACAATGTCATAAAATGTGAAGGATCAGGGAAGCAAAAAGTCCAAAAATTTACATACAACCAAATTTGGATGACACCGTTATAACGTCTATGTCTTAAGGTAAATTCTAGGGGACTCCAAAACTCACCTTGTTTCTAAGATTTTAGAAATACAGTAAAGAGATTACCCAGACCTGAATGTTGTTTCTACTCATGGATCTACTGCTACTTAGATTTATTTTTTAAAAAAACCTTGCATGTGAGTGAAGCACACGCAAACACACACTCTTCACCTCTCACCTGTAGCTGAAATTGCTCTAGAGTGGGTGCAACGTGAGGCAAGTAATCCTCTGCATGAGACTCCAGTTCTTCCGTTGTTAGGGCACGCCCAAAGGTGAGGAAGCGCTGCATGAATTCATGGGGATCATCCATCCAAAGGTAGGAATATTTCTCAAAGGAGTCTTCATATTCCTCCCCTTTCTTCATGGCACTGACTACAAGGTTTGCCACCTCCTCTCGCATCTCTATCAACTCTCCTGTATCTTCTAGGTCAGACTGCAAATATTAAGAGACATGATTGCCATTTGGGAAACATATGGATCAACAACATGGAAAGTGACACTCACTTGGAGGCTTCCTGAAGGCATCAGGGCAGCCACTGTCAGAAAAGTAATACTGGACCACATGTCTGATTCAGACGGTCTCCTTTGACATTCTGGATTGTTTTCATTTTCAACAGATGTCAAACAATGCATTTATGTAAAGGCAAACAAACCACATAAATGAATGGTTGTGCTCTGTTGTTTTAGTATTGATTTTATTACTGGTTTTAATGTAATACTTGTTTAATTCTTTTTAAGAATTTGTACCTACTGTTTTTAGCGTCTGCATATTGTATTTTTAATGATGTAAGCCGCCTTGGGTTCTTTTTTAAGAAGAAAGGTGGGATAAAAATAATTTAACTAAATAAGTAAAATAATGTAAATTCCTATTATAATTTTTAGGCAAACCTGAAACTCTGCAGATTTTGCAGTCCTGTATTGTATTTTCTAGTACAAAATGCTATGGCTTTCTTAGAATCCTGGGAGTCTATACAATTTTTAATACTATGTTTCTAAGCATCATGGTGACTGAAAACATATAGATAACAAATAATTTGAAAGGATATGTGAATGTACTGTATTTCTGTTCTGTTCCTATCTGAGAGAATAAGGGGGCAGACTTGATTATTGACACATACAGTTATGGTGCTGGGCCGCTGAAGCATGGACTTGGACTGGAAAAGTCTTACTTCTTATCCAATGAAAACTGCCTTATTTTTCACTACTTATTTCTCATTTGTGCCCTGTCCCCAGTTCGCCTCTCCCCTCCCCCAAAGCATACCTAGGCCAAAATCCTGTTATCTGTGCTTTTAAATCTCAGAAGCCAGTTAAAAGTTGTTGTATATAGTGTCACACACCCATCATGTGACTTGGCTTGCAACAACAAATGCCCTTGTGGCTTCTTTAACCAGCAACAATTTGCCACAGACAATTTATACCAATGGATTTATACTCGTACTGGTGTAATTCTTCAGTTTAATTCCAGCCATAAAATGAATTTCTATATAAAATGAATTGTTGGAATACAAACTCAGGCATAGTGATAACTTGGAGGCAGCTCAAGAGTTCTTGGCATGTAGACACAGATATGTATTATTCTACATTTTCTGTTTCACCACAAGAGAGGTGTGCAGGGCCTTGCCCATGAACATTGGCTGAGGAATGATTGCAGAGTACTCAGAGCTTTTAAATGCTACCTTTAAAAATAAACTTCTTGTATTTCTCATTACTTCTCAGCAGTCAGGCTGCTCTTACTGTTAGTGTTGTTCTAATCATGTAAGTCATTTTGGTGGGTTGCACTTACTGATAGATTGATCTCTCCTTACCAATAGGCCAGAAAAAAACAGTGAGAAATATTCTGTGATTTCCTCCAGTAGCCAATTCTAATACTACACTTTGGAAATACGTATTAATAAAAAGGCAAAACCAAGATATGCTTTCCTTGCAATTTAAGCCTTATCACAGAATGATATAGCACCTCAAAATATCTGTCGACATGTCTCTAAAACTACCTTAAAATACCCTTAGGAGGTATCTTTGAAAATAACTAGAAAATGTTTTTCACGACACCAATAAAAGAAACTCCAATTCTGAGTTTAAACAATTTGACACAATTACAGCCAAACTGTATAATGTGAAAGTCTCACAGGGAAGGATAATAATGCTGTGAAAATCTGAAGGCACTACAAAAAGAGGGAGACTGTTTCAATAAAGGAATCCACCACCTTGAGTTTGCACGATCTGAGCAGGGCCTCCTAAGAGGACCTGTTGGAGGGTCACCATGACTTGATGGAACACAAAGATACCACAGTTTAATTACTTCTAGGTAACTAGTTATAATTAATCAGGGTACTTGCAACTCATAACATCTAAACTCTGCCTATAAAATACATGTCATTCCTCATGTGCAGCAGCACAAATAATCACTGTTCAGAGAAGGACACAGATATGTCAAGCAAGCCAAGAGGTCACAATCAGTGATCCCCAGCCAGGGCTAATGAACAAATGTCTGTCAGAGGAGTACTAACCTTATAGCTGCCCTTCCCTTCTGCCAGTCTTGGTATTAGCTTAGCAGTCTCATAGATGTCATTCATCAGGTTTTCTACCACTTCCAAAAAACCCTGGTCTGCTCCCACTTCCAGCGATGGACGGTACCTTAAATCATCTTTATATAATTCTAAGCGGACTTCAAATAAAGGGGCGGCATTGGCCTAAAACAGATTAGGAGATTCTGTATCAGTCACTCTTTATCGGTCTTACATTCAAAGTATTATTGGAACATCGGCCAACCAGTTCCACTTCATCAACCCTTGCCTCCTCACTCCTCTCATTATGGCGGCAGCCTCTAGCAAGTTGTAGGGACTGGAAATGCATGAATCCAGACACCTGCATTTGGATTATTTGAATATTTACTCAGGCGCTCAGAAAAGGGAATGTTTCTGCCTAGAAGTTCATGAGTCAATTGGTGGTTTAGGAACAGTCAGAATTCAAACAATTTACTGTACATTTGTTGTGTCCTGATGAAGACAGAAAGTCACCAATGCCTTTGAAGGCTTATTGTATGGATAGGTGATAATGACACAGCATGATGGCAAAGAGCAAAAGGAAACACACAGGTGCCCTCACATACCAGGGAACACCCCTGGGTCCAACTGGACCTAGTCTTTTTGAGGCCTGGCTCGGTATGGATGATTCCTCCTCCATCCCACAGTAGAAGAGTTTTAATGACCTTGGCAACTCAAAGGGTTTCTATACTCTAACCTTCCTACATTGGAACTGGCCAGGGGGACAGGACTGCAAACACTTTACAATAAGTGTGGGGCGGGACCTGCTATATTCTGAGAGACGCATATAATCATCTTAGAAAGGTAAGAACAATACGTTTAAACGTATGGGATGCAATGTGCGTTTTTTTCCCTACGTTCATAGTTCCCGCTAAGCTGAGGACGTGGCATTCATGACATAATGTATATGTATTTTGTACTGAAAATTTCTAACCTAGTTCAGTGCAAGTGAAAACTCATATAAATTTTAAACTGCTTTTCCTTCTATATCTTGGGTCTCCCTCCACATTCCCATCACAAAATTATCTGTTAAAATCCTGATTCTGCAAAAATCAGAACAAGCTATGGAGCAAGCCAAAAGAAGCAGGGGATAAAAGTCCTACTAGGCTATACTAATTAGGGCAGGGTGTGGACATTTGGAAAGGAAGAAGGTATCTGGGGAGGGGAGTAAACTTGCTCTCCTCACACACACCCCGTCTTCTTCCTTTCCAAAATTCTTTCTCATCAGTTTCAATTCAGCTTGATCTTAGTCCTTTACAACAGACTGGAAGGACTGTTGACCCTCCCGAAAGTCCAAAGCTACTCCCGCAACATCCCAGTTTAGGGATGTTTACTGTTGTCAAGAATGCCACACATGGTACATTTATACATCTGGAGTTCAGGGTGAGAGCAACAGGGTCTTCCAAAGTGGCGTGTCTCCCCCTTTCCCACAAAACCCCTCTCTGTGGACAGAGAGGAGCTGCTGCTGCATCCCATCCCAAGAGTCAGAGAGTTGACTGAGGGGGTTTAGGATCTGTTCCATTTTGTTAAAAAAAATGCACTTATATATCCTTGCTTAATTTACTCTGGAAGCAACATTTCAGTTTGCTGGTTACAAAATATGGCTTATTTGGCCATGAAATGAAACAACCACATCTTTGTGACTTAAACTCTGGCATGTGGCACAATGCCCATTGATACATGGTGTGTTCAGAACATTATGTTTTTAAAAGCACTAGGAACCAACCAACGCACATCAGGTGACATATTGCTGAGGAGAAATTGCAGTGATTTGCGGATAAACTTAAAGTAGCCGTCCAAAACAATGTCATCTATGTATTCTACATAATTAGACCACATTCTTGTTTTCTTGTCAGCTTTGAACAACTCTGCATTTTCCTACAAACAACAAACAAACAAACAAACATTACTTACAAAACAATGTATTAAGGGTTTATCCATTTTCTCTCAATTATTAATCCTTTAAGTTTCATAAAAACCAGAACATTTGTTCACAACAGTTCTTGGCAACTCTATCACTAATGTCAAAACTTCCAAAATGTGGAGTTTGTGATTGAAACAGTTTACAAGAGAAGCTTCTGTAGAGTTGTCAAGAAATCAGAGGCAAAAGATCTGTCATGATGCAGTGCTTGTGTGGATTGAGGTGGGCTGTCCGTGGAACAAGATGTCCACAAAAAGAGACATCTTGTTCCACTTTGAAGTTCCAGCCCATTACTTTGAAGAGTGTCAATATAGCACCAACTGAATGGTTTTGCTTCTTTTCTGCTATCCACACTAGAAAGGCTCTGTCTAATAAACTTACTAGATGCCATGCTGATTCTGTATCTTGGAGCAGCACCCCCAGAAAGGAAAATATTGCCTGTTTATTCTAATGAGTTTCCCTTACTGTGCAAACTATCTTGCCTCTGTTTTATTATTGGGAAACAGCACAGCCTTGTTTGCATGTCTTATGACTTAGGCACGTAGCACCAAAAGATATGCATACCTAGAGAGATGATGTTGTAAGAGATAGATCTGACCCTGAAGTCTCCATATTCTTGGAATAGGGTTGGACAATTCCAGCAAGACTGAGTGGCATTTTTCTGATTTCCAGGTAGCCTGAAGGTCATTGCCCCCAAAAGAATACGGTCAAAGGGAAGGGATATAGCCCAAAAAGGCTAATTTGTACATTCTAAAAATCATTTTTAAACACACTAGCTGAAAGTCGTTACTTGGCATAAAAAGTTGCAGCTAGAAAAGTCCCATTCAATCAATAGAACGTCTGTATGAAGGAATTGACTCACCAAATCACCCCGATTCAATGGGCTTACTGTAGCTATGAGCAACAGTATTATTCACTGTTTTTGCTGACTTAAAAAATGTTTATCTAAAAAAAGAGTTAGATTTTTTTATGCTCCAGACAGAGGCTCCAATTTGCTGAGTAAAGTCTCCGTCTAAATATCCTAAATCAACTCAGAACAAACTCATACAACAGGGAACTGATCATGATAACTAAGGCAATGATTGGCTGTCCCCCTCAACCTTTTTTTTTAATCTTAAACCAGGAAAGGGGCAGCAGACAAGCAATCAGCAGGAGCTATGATTATACTGTACGTTAGTTTGAAGGCTTTGGTGGGCAGGAAAGCAAATTATAGGTACACTTAAGCAATAATTCATCAAACACCTTCATCATTAATTTGATTAATATCTTGCCTTTCATCATAAGTGTTCAAGGCATCTAACAATCTACATAAAAGCACACACTTAACATCACAAATTACAAAGTAACAAATTACAACCAACTGAAATAAACTGCAAATGTCTGCTAAAAATGTAAAAGCAATAGTCAAAGAAGTAAAATACAACGAAAACAATCAGCAGTGAAAGACAAATCAAACATTTTCTGATACAGTTGCATATATTCCTGAAAATATGTTGTTTAAAAGTTGACATTTATATGTGTGACATTGTTCAGATTATGACAAGCAATCTCTTTCTTTCTCAAATAGTGGCTAGATGGGGATTTGTCTTGCAGTTTGGTCCAATATGAAGACTGTCTGTTTCACTCCTTTTTTTCACTGACGACATGACATACGGGCCAATGTGAATCAGGTTGTCGCACAGTTTGGGGTATCTGCCAGGAGTTACTGTTTTGTTTTGTTGTTGTTGTTGTTTTGATGCAAGTAGAATTGCTTCATTTTGGTTTGATCCCAGCATGTGTGATCATTTGGATCAACCAAAGCGGATAGCCTAAGCTGTCTGTTTAAGCCACTTCATGATCTTTGGAAAATGAAAGCTTTCTCTTATTCTCCATGGAGAGGGAGAGAGGAACACTGCAAATGTGCTTCTCTGTGTGTGTGTATCTTTCAAGCCTTTGTAAGGCAGTGCTGATGCGCTATGCCAGTTAGGAAATTTTTTTTAATGAAAGCTTCCTTCCCCATGGAGGGAGGAGACAGGAAGGGACAAGAAGGGGAAATCTCTCTTTTTGGTGTTGTTACTTTTTATTAATTTTTTTTCCCTTTAAAGAGAGCACGAGCTAAATAGGGTCACTTGAGGTGAAATGTGGTTTCCTGCTCTAAAAGTACCTGATTCTTGCATGTAAGTGCAAGGATCACCCCAAATGACAAACCACATTTCAAAGCAACCCTGTTTAACATGATCCAGCCTGATCCAGACTGTGATAATTTGGCTGTCCATTCGCACCCCCAGTTTCTCACCTCAACCATAGCCTGGATCTTCTGCCCAGCATCTTTGATTGCTGCATAGCGTTTGTTTAGGTTTGTTTGTTTTCCATCTAAATCGAGAAGTGCTGTCTCCTTATTGTCTTTCCTTTCAAACAAAGGACTAGCTGACCACTCCTGTGAGAAGAATCAGATACATGGTTTAGGAAAAGATAACTTAGACACAGAGGAGCAAAACTAGAAATACATCAAGGAATATTTCCCCATTCCATAGCAAACTGGTAGAAACCAGTTTTCAAGCTACTCACCTGCATGAGCTGCCCAATATTCTCCACATTTATCTTGGTTTTCTGAATTCTTGTCTCTAGATCATATAAGACATTGCGCATCTCTTGAATGTAGTCCATAACACCTGTCAAGAGGGGGTGTAGGAGTAAGGTAACACACAGTAAATATCACCAGACACCATAGGTGCCCCTCCTTTACAACCAATCTCTTTGTCTTAACTTTCAGACTTCTCCAGATCTCGCTTGTTGAAGCTAAGCAGGAGGTGATGAAGGCCAATATAGGGATGCCACAACTGATCTTTTTTTAAAGTATGTATATGGATGTGTTGTACTCACAAATTTCACAATAATCTTTGGGGCAAGATACGAACAACACTTTCTTTGGTTTGTGTGCACTCAGTCTCAATGTATCAAACAAATGATAAGAGATGCAGGTTGAATGGCCATATACTATGAAGGCAGGTGGGCTCAGATGCATGACGTTTGGTGCTGAATTTCGGTTTCATCTGATTGCTATGCTACAAAACAGGAGATTTCAGCTCATGAGTTATGACAGAGAACAGACAGACATTTGTACCTTCATTGCTCCAGAAAAGGTTAGTCTCAGCTTTCTGCAAGCCAATGTCAATTTCTTCCAGCTCACCATTGACCAGTGGAAGTTCTACTGGCAAAATTGTCAGCTTGATCTAAAAAGAAGAAGCTTATTTTGGGATGCATGCTGAAATTCATTTTGAGGAGTTGAAGGAACTGCCCAGATTGCTGTATGTCTAACTTCAACCCCGTTCTAGATATTTAGAGGGCTCTGAAGACCTTCCTGCAAAGAGATTTCCACTGGACTCAACAGCTCTAGGTACGTGATGAACCGCATACCATCTGCTAATTCTAGAAAGTATCACAAAAGTGTGATTTAGGTATTTAACATACTGGCATATGAATATCCACAGAGAAAATGGCGTGTCTATACAAACGGTGTAAAACACCTTTTGCCAACTTGTTCTTTTTATTATAGTACAATGTCTACAGTGACTTCACGTTATGCTGAAATGTCACTCCTTGATGAAGTAAGCAGAAATGAGTGTTGCTCTAGGAATAAGACTGAAGAGACCCCAGGTCATGTTCCTGCTCAGCCATGAAGTTCACTGGGTGATTTTGAGACAAGCTTCCCCCTCTCAATCCAATCTACCTCATAGGGTTAGTGTGCAGGTAAAATGAGGGTGATGGGAACCAGGTGTGCCACCTTGAACTTCATTAAAAAATACATGATTCAGAAGGAAGGAGAAACAAATTGCCTCTCAGCTACGATTCATATATACCTTATTATACCAGCCAACAATAAGATCTAAGTTGTCCACAAACGTCCGGAAAGTTTCATTCTGAGAGAAGAGACCTGCAGCACTGTCTGGAATGTCCTTCTGCTGCTGAAAGCTCAGGTACTTGACTTCTCGGAGAACAGCCACAAGCTGCATGACATTGAGAACAATTGAGAAACAAATGCCCTTCTATAAAGAGTAAAAGAACCGAAGCAACAGTCTGGCATGCAGATTTGTTACCTGGATCCACCTCTTATATACGCTTGGAATACAACTGGATGTTATGTGACAATTGCAACATCATATCAATAGGAAGAATTTGGGGACCAAAGACTCCACTTACTGCTCATTGTGCATCTGAACATAGGTGGACTCAAATGAGATGAATTGAATGAGCTCACCATGGCCTGCAGTGGTTACATGAGAAGGAAGACAGGGCTCTTGCACCTTTTTAACAGTTGTACTGAAGAGGGAATTTCAGCAGGAAATTCTGCCTTTCACACAAGTATTAAATGTGCAAGGTCCCGGTCCTCCTTTTCATGTTGTCACCCTGCCCAGGATAAGTGGATCCAAAATGGAACAACCTCTAATCATAGAGTAGGATAATGCATGGGACACGCAAAAAAACCCTAGAGGTTTCCCAAGGGCAGCAGCACAGCGCTCACTCCTCATCCTCAGCTTCTCTCCTCAGGCACTTTTCTTCTCAACCAGGTTTGGATTTCAATACTGTCTAAAATTTTTGGAAAGAAAAGTTCTTCTTTTAGAAGAACAATTCTTGGTGATGATGGGATCATCTGGAAGGGGGCAGATTCTGCACTCCTCATTTATGTGGCCACTTTGCTGTTAAATTCAGACCCTACTCTCCTTCTTACTTTTCTTTCTTTTTTAAAGGTCTGCACAGTTTGGTGTTTAAACAGAGGGAATTGCTTGGGACACCCTACTTCCTTTGTTCCCAGGTGCCAAGTCAGTCAAACGTCTTGCTCTCTTGGCTACATCAACATCAGTGGAAGATCTTGCACTTCTTTCCAAAACTGGGAGCAGAGGAGGGTCACGAACAACACCTCTTTGCACCAAACTACATGCCACATTCAAACATATTGGCCAGGATCCTTTGGGATCTACATAAGGTTTGAGTAACTTGCCATGATTAATTATGGGAAGACAAAACATGAGATTTTAGGGAGTTGTTAGTTCATAGGGTCAACATAGGTTGCCAATGACTTGATGGCATATATCAACAAAAAGTAATCACAAGCAGACACTGTAATATTAAGAAATCCACTCCATACTTTTCTAGTAATTTGAAAACACCAGAATTACTAATTACAAAATTCTGTCCTGAATACTTCTTCTGGCTTTAAGTGGGACATTATGAGAACTGTAGTCCCACATGTCTTGTGAAGAGCACCAGGGTGAGGGAGCTGAGGTAGTGCAAGCAAGCTAATCCACACACTGCAATAAGAGCCTAGTGTGTTGTTATATTATTCACACACCTCTTTGCTGAAGTTAACTTTAATAAGATTTGTCTCTGGATCTCTCTGGATCAGAGGTTGCTCTAAGTTGAACTGACAGTCTTTGTCGACTCGGCTGATCCACTCTTCATAAATCCTTTCACGGTAACCTTTCAGCAAACGTATCATCTCCTCATATTTCCCATATATCAGCTTGGCTTCAGAACTGAGCATAACACTGGAGCNGGGGAGGAAAGCCCAGTGTCAGAAGAAGAGAGGAACTGAATGACATTAGAAACATGAACCTATAAAATTACTTTAGCCAATATAGTTCTGACGGCTTGATATTTTCTAATGAGAGGCACTGAGAGTTACTTACGGATGATCAATGGCACGCAATTCCTTCCTTGGGATCTGCAATCTTTCCTGGAGTTCCAAAGCCCACTTTAATTGCCCAGCAACAGGCGGCATGTTTTTGCTAATGGGAGGCACATGGTCCCCTGTTTTAGTGGCAGCTATCTGAGCATCATACAAAAGCTTTGCATTGTCCAATTCAACGTTGAATATCTCCAGGAGTGTTGCATAGTGGGGAGCCACATCTGCCTTGATCAATGGCCGTTCCAACAGAGAGGCAAACATATGGATTTGCTAAAGAACATTGCAAAAGTAATAACACAGAGATCAGTTTTTAATAAAACAAGAATGCTTTCTGTGAGGATCTCTTAGTGCTTCCAAGACCCATACAAGCCATTCTGAATTATGCTAAATAAACAGACCTGCAACAAACTGTTGCATTGTATACCCACTTCTTAAGAAGTTTGGGGTTCCGGACATCCACACTTTCTTCCAAAATACTCAATTCCACCCCATTCTCTGCTCTCCCTTGGCTTTTCTGTTTTCTTTTCCAGTGCACTGTTAGCCATGTTCACTTTCTGTTGGGATGATCAGGAGAATGGGGTCTGCATCTAGGATTTTTAGAAATATTTTTCAAAATTTTCGAAAATCTTTGTGTGTCCCCACCCCCTCCGAGGAGACATTCCTATATCCCTTCCTCCACCTCCTCAGGAATCCCATTTTGATACCAGCCCAATCATCATGCATCACCTGAGTTTGCTATTAAATGAAGCGATACACAAAAACTCTTCCAGTAGTTCTACTAAATGGGTAACTTGTGGCTGTCCAGATGTTGTTCAATTACAATTACCATCCAGGGCTTGAAAAGTTACTTTTGAGAAGAATGGATATAATGTCATGCTGAAGCCACCCAGAACCAAGTAAGTTAGGATAATGATCCTGGATTATTATCTTCCCACTGCTCAGTTATGTGGGCCTTTGGAATGTTATTATATTCATTATTCAGAATAATGAGAGAAGGTCTTCCTTGAAGGACTTTCTGCATCAGCTAACAAAAAACTCTCAACAGGCTTTGGTACTGTGTTCTTTGATATGTGGCAGGCTTTGATTATGTAGACATCCTGTGATGAAGCAGCCAACAGTATCTGTCATTTACTATCAATGATAGATGCTGTCTTTCCAATGCAAATGAAGCTCTCTATGTAACCAATATTTTTTAATATTCATTACCAGTGCTAATAATGCTATTGGTGCCTTTGAAGTTGAATATTAATATAATGGTCATCCTCTTTTGTCCGTCTCATTTGGTCCCTATCCTACTTCCATGTATGCTATATAAATAAACCTGGGGCACCTGAGGAAATGGGTTGCAATTCACAAAAGTTGAGCCAGAAATATATTTGTCAGTTATTATTTCAAGGTACCCCAATACTTTCATTATTATTTTTGTTCTCTTAGTTATTACAGGTATTTTATTTCACTGACAATATGGATCACAGGGCAAGAAAAAAGTTTCATATAGCCATCATACATATGTGTTCAATTCTGGGTATAGCTTTTTCTTTTCTTTTCTAAAGTTCCTAATCACGGTTATCAGGAAGTAGTGAGATTCTTTGCCTCTGGGAATTTAATTTGGATTGTTGATGAGGTTTGTGGTGCTCTGTGGTGCCTCCTGCAATGAAGTGGTCGCTTATTCTGGCAATAGTCCAGGCCTCTTTCTAGGGTCATTAAATATTAAATTCTTCTTTCTGAGCTCTGAAACAGAAAACTCTTAATTATATGACTGTAATATGTTCCTTGACTGATTATTCAGATAAAGCTTTGTTTTCTAATTGTTTGGTTCAAATTTAATATCAGGAAGGCAAGCCAGACTCATCCTCTCATGAATGAGAGTGTGGTTACAATACTAAAAAAAAATTCTATTTACATAGGGTTTAGTGTGCTTTGAATCAATGTAAAAAGGGGTGAATACATGATGCATGGGAAAGTGCTGATTAATTTGACAGAAAATCACGGTTTTTAGAGCAGCAATGAGGGGTTTTTTTTTTACTTCTCCACTAGAGGTCCATTTATCAAACTTCATTTGTGTGACACTTTCATTGAAAAAAAGAGAAGAAGTTCTAAAAGACAAGCAGCATCAAGAGCTGGAAGACAGCAAGGGAGAGACAATGTGTAAGTTCTTTTCCTTCTTGTTCACCCAGAGCAAAACCCTTTCTTCTCCCCCTGCCCCCAATCTTCTCTGCATTAGAGACAGAGTAGGTACCACTGCAGCATTGGGGTTTAGAAAGGGTGTGGAGGTGTTTTTAAGCAGAGCCAATGATCTGCAAAGTACTTAATATTGCTAACTTTCTTTTGCGGTTTGGCTCTGTACGTAATATATTCTGTATGTTGTATCCATTTGGAAGCCTTTAAGCATGGGGGAAAACCCAACAGAAATGCACTTCAGTCAATTAAAAAAAAACAGCCAGAAGAAAAGACTTTCCCCATCTTGCCCCCCACTTTCTGTTCCCAATTACAACTTCATCTTTTTAAACAAATTGTCAAGGAAATTTTAATGCAACTCTAAGCATCATTTGCACCTTAAGCCTTGCAGAGTGAACTGGCCATAGGAACGTTGGAGTTGACAAGCTCATGCTTGAAAGGTCTGTCTGCTTGAGAGAACTCAGTGGGACTTGTAGAACTGAGCTTTGTAGGTAGGAGAGGTGCTGCATGAAACTGAGCAGACAGGAAAGCTGCTGAGCACAGCTTACTCCCAAGTAAGTATGTGTAGAATCAAGTTATGCTTGGCCAGAAACAATCCAAAGTATTAAGAATTACACTTGGCCTTGTCCACTTTGTTTTGGCCTCTTCTCTTTGACTCTGTCTTGAGCCTCCATCCCACACAGTGACCAGCCCCCTCCTCATAATGTAATTCAGCCCCAGGGCATCAACCTTGATCTTGTAGTGTAGGTGGCAGCTGTTTCTTGTAACCTGGTGGCTGTAGCTCAAGAATGGGCAAAGTTCTCCTATCCAGATATGGTTTGCTGGCCACTCCCATTAGCCCTAATCAACATAGCCAATGGATAAAGCTAAGGATGACATTCCAACAATATCTGAAGTACCAGAGTTTGCATACATCTGCTGTAGCTGAAACTATTGTGACATACCTATAAAGCAAATTTAATGGAGCCTACAATGCTTGCCAGCCTGGCAGGTGTTAGAGTTGGTATAGCGTGATGGAACTATTGTATGCAACTATGTTCTTCCGTGGCCTTTAGAGAAGCAAGGAGGAAAAAAGCCCACCCAATCTTTCTCTTTGCCATCATAAGAGACTTTGGGTTGTCACAGACTATGAGAAGGGAAACACAGTGTTTTTCTGGCATGGAAGTTGAGCAGTGAAAGGGTCTTTCATGCCAGCTATAGAGGAAAGGTTTCTTCACCTGCTGGATCATAAGCTTTTTCTTCCTTCACTTCACACAAATATAACTGCTTTTTAGATTTTAAAAAAAACATGTAGAACCTCTACAGGAAAATGTACCTTGACAGCAGATTCAAAACTGGAGCAGTCAACAAATCCTTGGTAGAAAATGGTGGCCAGACGTCTGTCTAAGTCCTGAATTTTGATCTGGAAGTCTGCAAAATCTTCATCAAATTGCTTTTAATAAAAACAAGAGAATAAATTAAATCAGCTATATCCCATATATTATACAGATTGGTCTTTAAGAGATAATTAAATCAGCATATCTAAGCAAAGGATTAGCTAAGTGGATCTATTTTAGAATAAATTTGTTACCATAGTAACTGGGACTTGCTGGCTCACAGTAAATCAATAATTTATCGGCCAGCCTACAAGTACGATTTTCACCAAGAAGCCACTAACCTCATCTGCTGGATCTAAAGGATCATATTTGCATTCAGCGAAGACCTTCACATGTTCAAGAACCTCCTCATAGATCTGAACCACCATGCTCCCTAAGATATTGCCTCTCACGCCTCCCAACTCAATTTTCTCCAGTTTGAGAAACTCAATTGCTGTCATGTACAGCTCCTTTAAATTTAAATAAATGAATAAATGAATAAATGAATGAATGAATAAATGAATGAATGAATGAATGAATGAATGAATGAATGAATGAATGAATGAATAAATAAATAAATAAAAAAATAAAAACACAATTACATAATCTTCTTTTGAGTTAAAAAAGAATTGGAGTGATCAACTGAAAATCCACGCATTTTTACAATCTGAAAATTGTGAAACCAAGACCTTCAATTTTAATGCCATTTTTCATAACAATTGACTTTTTCTTCTATCAGTACATATGCAGAATCATTAAAAGATGGATTAGTATCTTAAATCTCAGCTATCTACATTGCTTCAACTATACCTGTATTATCACCTGTAAAGATTCTCATTTGCTAGCCTATTTGTCTATCCAGCTGTTTTATATTTTAGATGCACTATTCTATTCTCACCTCTATTGTCTTCAATCTGTGAAAAAATGAGTTCATTCTAGTAAAGACAAGAGTTGAAGGGAATTCCCAGTACTGTGGTTCTTTGTCCTGCACATGAAAAAACATAGCTGTTTGTGACCAGTTGTTCAAATGCAACTTCAAGTGAATACATTCTAAAAGTCTTAGAACACTGTAATGGTTGTTGTGGGTTTTTTGGGCTCTTTGGCCATATTCTGAAGGTTGTTCTTCCTAACGTTTCACCAGTCTCTGTGGCCAGCATCTTCAGAGGACAGCACTCTGTGCTCTGGTGTAGTTTGCTTGGGAGTGGACCAGATCACAGAGTGCTGTCCTCTGAAGATGCTGGCCACAGAGACTGGTGAAACGTTAGGAAGAACAACCTTCAGAATATGGCCAAAGAGCCCAAAAAACCCACAACAACCATTAGATCCCGGCCGTGAAAGCCTTTGCGAATACTAGTAGTTGTTCCTTGTGGGCTTACTGATGCTGAACTGAACTCCTTGGCTTGACCTCCTCCATCTTCGATTTGTGGATCATCCGGTTCTGCCTCTGTTTTGGATTCCCTCTCCTTTTTTTGCTCATTTGGACTACATCCTCTTTTGCCCTTTTTATTTGCTGGGGGGGTGCTAATTCTCTTATTTCCTTTATTTTTCCTGCTGCCTTGCCTGGTGCACTGTCTGCATTATTAGACTGAAAAGGCATCAGAGTGCCAGGGGAGGGGGAGAGAAATATCCATAAGCCACTGATATTCCTGAGTTTTGGGGGTATATTACCTGCCCTTACCTCTTTGATTTCTTTTGCTGGTCTTTGGGAGAGAGGGCTGTTTGTGTATTATTTTTTATTTTATTTCGATAATTTGTTTTCCTGTCTAGGGCGGAAAGTTGCTCTGGTGTTTTTACATTGCTGTTTGCTTACTTTTACAGTACTGTGTTTAGTTTTGTGTAAAGTTGGATCTTTTCTATATTGTTTCTGGGGGGCATTTTTTTTACCAGTTAGTTGCTATTTAGTTAATTTTTGTTGTATATCATATTTGGAGGGCTCTATTGCTATCCACTTAATTGTTTCAGGCACGTATGTTTTTCTGTGCTGGATAATGCATTGCTATTTGGTTAAGGGCCTCGTGGCGCAGTGGTTAAACCGCTGTACTGCAGTCAAAACTGTGCTCACGACCTGGGGTTCAATCCCAGGTAGCTGGCTCAAGGTTGACTCAGCCTTCTATCCTTCCGAGGTCGGTAAAATGAGTACCCAGCTTGCTGTGGGGGGGGGGCAATGTATAGCCTGCATAATTAACTTGTAAACCGCCCAGAGAGTGCTTGAAGCGCTATGGGGCGGTATATAAGCAGCATGCTTTGCTTTTTTGCTTTTTTTTAAAAAAAATTGTTGTTTACTCTTACAATAATTGTTTTTTCTGTTTACAATTGAATTGGGAGGAATAGCTGTTCTGTTTGCTGAATTGTTCTGAGGATTTTTTTTTCTTCCTTCCAGATCTTTTTACATTTGATTTGTGGTAATTTCCTGTGTATTTAATTTAGTCTATTAAAAGTGCACTGATTGCATAATATATTTTGGTGGCTTTTTGGGGAAGTGTATTATGTTTGCTTATGTAGGGTATGTGTGGGCCTAGAGAGATGAGGTGTTTACTTGATTTTCTTCTGTTGCATTCAAGGTCAGAGATGGTCTCTCTGAAACATCTCACCCTAGATAGATCTGATAATGATCATGAAGATGATTATTTCTCCTTCTCATCTTTATTGTTTCCTGGTGATGAACTGAGAAAGACGATTGTGATATAGTGTTAATGAATCTGAACTTTAGAATGCCTGCAAAAGTCTCATGATGATGGATTTTTCTTTCTTGTGTACCTTCCTTGCCTGCTTTTGGAATAACCAATAGTTGTCTGTTTGCCCCTGCTTTTTTTTTGGAGTGGTTTTTAAGGATTCTATAAGGCTTGATTAGGACTAGCACCAAAAACATGCATAGGGAAGCCAGTCCCTTTCATGCTTAACCAAAGGACCAGTAAATGAAAGATCTGAAAATGAATCAGGGAACCCACACACACACACCCAGAAGAACTGAAATGAATCAAATCTGAGAAATTTCCTTATTCACACCTCTTGTCTTTAACATGTGCTGAATACTATCAATGACTGACCTTAAAAAAAGATGGCATCATATCTGTGCAGCAAACATCATAGGTCTTGTAGAGTTTCTCTATGACAGAGATCCCCAGCTTGATCCCTGACAGCACCTCCTCAATTTCTCCTTGCAAACCTTTCAGCACTTCTTCAGGACTCAGAAAGTTACGTGTCTAAACAGAAAAGGTACAGTCAATGATGATGCTCAGGTGCATAAGACAAGACTAAGCCAGACCTTGGAACTGGAACCTTATAGCCTTTTAAAATGCTTTATTGGGGGATAACTATGTGCTGGAAGTAGTATTATAATCAAACCAAAGCTGAGACTGCATTGGCAAGCCGAATTGCTCTAATTTGGCTCTGTTGTGATTTGATTCATTGGCTGTATTATGGCTGAATTCAGTCAGTGATCTCACAGGGTCTGCGGATTGGTTTAGGGGTTCAGCGTTCACACTCAATGCAAAATGATTTACATTTTAGTCCACAGTCTCCTTTCTTTCCTTCCTTGCCCTGGCCCCGCCCCTGCTGATCCCTTTATGGTTTGCTGTTATGCTTGGTTTTGAAAGGGTTGCCCAATGTTCCAGAAAAAGTGGCAGCATTCCAAAGTCCTTCTTAACATGTGTTCAAAAACCACAGGAACATCTTTTATTTCATCTGGGTTGTTTCTGTGTTGTTCATAATTTTTTAAAATTCTCCTCTGGAGGTGATCTAGCACTGAACTAATATATTCATGCTAGTTTAGTGGTAGATCACCAGATTACAGTACTAGATAAATTGGTAACATGATCTAGTGCTAATCTCATATATGTAAAAAGTAAATAAAAGTGTGGAGGAAAAAGGGCTGGACTGTTTCAAATTGGCCATTGGGTCATGTGATAGTACGGCAAAGGTCAATAAGAGTATTTTTATTAGTTTTATAACAACACACAAAACAAACACTAGAAACAGATAAACAGAGGAAGAAAAGAGAATGTTGGATCACACAGGTATTGGAAGAGATTCTGATAGCTGAAGTCCAAAATATTTGGAGGAACAAAAGTGGAGAATCATTATACTGAAGTCATGACTTAATGTCTCACTGGTTTCAGTGAATCAGGGCTATGTAATTACAGGGAAGCCAGTAAGGCATGTAGACAATTCTGCTGCAGATTTTGAGAGATTTCACAGCAGTTTGCCCTCAGTGGTGGAGGGGGTTGGGTGGGGTGGAGCAACAAGGTATATCCAAAATCTGTTTCAGAACCTTCTTTTTCTTGGGTTGGCAATGCACAGTGAAGCCACCAATGAAAGTACCTTTTCCCGGTATTTAGTGATCACTTCTAATTCTGCAAATTCTAAAACTAACATTTAATTAACTAACTAATTAAATTCAATCCCTTTTATTTTGCACTGCCTTTTCACCCTTGGCCAAACCTGTCTATAGGACTTTTTTTATTTCCGCCTGCACAATTCTTGCTCATGGTTAGACTTTTGTCACCTCTGCAAATCGTATAAGACTGAAACTGCATTTGATGCTTATCAACACTAAAACAAACAAACAAACTGGAGAAATCTTAATAGTTAAGAAATTTGTTTTCATAAATTAGTACCATTTCAATGAAGAGATTACAGATCTCCTGCAAAATGACAATGACCCGGGAGGGCACATTATAGTATTCTGATTTGGCCCAGACCAAGCATACGGTGTACATGACATTGTTGATGAACGAAGGTAACTGTGTGGACATAGAGAGAATAAAGGTTTTAGACAAGTAAACTGTTCATGGATGAGATAATGCAGTATTTCCACTTAGTACCTATAAAGCTGTTCATCATCTTTATTAATTTGTGAATACATTACCCAAATTTCTGAATGCTTCAGTTCCTCAGGCTAGAAAGAGCAATTCCATGTTAACAAGTCTTACTGAAGGTAGGAGTGCAAGGGTGAAAAACTTAAAAACAGAAGGTGCCGAAAGCATCTTTTCATTTCCAGAGAAATTATGCAGCAATAGCACTTCGGCAATAGCACCAAAGAAATGCTTAGTTTATACAGTAATGTCCCACCTTTCACTTCCATTTATGAGTGAATGGGACTTCTGGCAGCTTCAATCATAGTTAAGGGTTACCTCTCAGCCTCCATACTGTAATAAACAGCATTTTTGGTGGCAAATAGCAGCTGGGGGGGGGGAATTCAGCTGGAACATGACACAGGAAGGAAAGGGTTACCATTTATTTCCATGTACTACATGGAATTGCACAGAACTGTGGCTCTGTGCAGCTGTTCTTGTTGCTTTTTTCTGGAGGTGGGTAGGAACAGAGGCCAATGCTCAGCACAGTTATGGAACATATAGTTTAACCTTTAGTAAAGAAATGTGTGAGATTTTGATCCAGAGTAGACACTAAACAGCCGCATCAAAGACCAGGAGTAGGGGACAGAAATGAGTTGAATGACACCACAGGAATGGTCACAGCATCAGAGGGAGCTTTTCCTTCTTGTGTTTCATCTCCAAACCAGGCTTCACTCCCCCCCCCCCCCTCTTTCCCTTGCTGCCTTCCACCTCTTGATGTCGATCAGTGGGGAGGAGGAAGGGCAAAAGAGTGAACTGTCTCAGCCAGGGGAGTGCCATTTGAGAAAATGGAGTTTGGCTCTCCCACCTTTGGATTTCCTCAGTGACTGGCGGGGTGGGGGCAGGCAGCAGAGGATTCTCTTTCCAGGCTGGCCACTTGCACCCACCTTGCAGTAGATGATACTCCAACAGGGGAAATACTCACTGGTTGTTTTTCTTTCCTTTTTTAACCAGACCTCTTAACAGTGATGCAGTCTGTTACCTATGAGTGCTTATCATGACCATCAAATGCCATTTCCTCCTCCTTTATATACCTGGTGGTATTCTGCCTGTTCTGTTTCCTCCAAGACAACTTTAAGTGGCTGCAAGTATAGGTTAATATCTTCAGCTTCCTTAAGTCCTGCATTTAAAAAAGAGCTCAAAGGTAGATGAACTGAGGGGATGCTTCAGTGGTCAAACAGCTCACAGCCATTTGGAAAAGAATGCAGAAGTGTCATGTGTAATGTTAAGAAATGCGACTCTACCTGCAGCTACATCCTTGAAAACATTCTTGAGTGCTGGCCAATAGCAGCTCTTTGCTCTCTCCAAAATATCAGCAATTTTTTTCACTTGGGGGGCATACAGCTAGGAGAAAGCAAATAAACAAACAATACATCCAACCATACCTTCATGGGCTACCTTAACATTTGGGGATTTACAGCAAACACTGAAATAAGTTGCAGCCTACCTGCTCATTTATACACTGCAGGTTAATCTGCCGACTGTACCAGAAATCAAATTCTGCTCTGGGTAATGGGTTCAAACTATCCAAGAGGGGCTGTGCAGAGTCTTTGCTCAAGATATCTCGGATCTGATGGGACCAGTCAATGATGATGGTTTCGATGGAGTGTAACAGTGAACTGTCCACAGCGGAAGACAGACTGAAAATATGGTGAAAATATAAGTGGTTTTTAACATCTCATATAATAGCAAAAGGAAATGTGTAGCAAATCATAGAAGGGGGTCAAGGAATTTTTCCTTAGTTCCATCATAGGCCTTTCACTATGACCCAGTCTCCTTCCTCATTGTGGAGTGCAAGGTACTGAGGAACTGTGTAGGTAGAAAGGCAAACATCTTTGTTAGCAGCAGAACATATAAACATATAATCAAATTAACTTCTGTACACTGGGGCAGAAACAATGAGGGAGACAGAGTGAGAGAGTGAGTGCAGGGTGCAGAATCTGGAAGCATTTAGAGGCGGGTAGAAAGGGAGGGGTGAATCGAGGGGGGGTGATAGGAACCATTGAAAAAAGCATGGAATGCTAGGGCAATGCATGAAATAGATACATGTGTAACCTGAAACTTTTAAATAATTGCTACCCGATTGTGATTTTTAAATCTGGACAGAGCCTACACATAGTGCATTGATTATAATAGGTGTGGTGGAGATTATTGAAAGGCGCCCACCTCTCCAGCATATCTGCTGCACTGTCTGTGCTATCCAGGTGCTCTGGCAATGGAAGCAGGGTTTTTCCTTTGATCTTTCCTCCCATCACAAACATCTCATTTTTGAGTCGGTGGGCTTGCCGTATAACATCGTCAGCTACCACCCGAGGCCATCCTGCCAGATTGTCACTCTTTAGGAATAAGGAGTAGACCACCTGGAAGAGAAGAATTACTTTCTTACCATGCATGCATCCATGTTTCATCACAGCATATGGATCTGGGTTTTTTTAAAGTTGATTTGGAAAAATCCGGCCTGTTTTTGAGACGTCTGTGGCTAGAAACCCTTGATGAACAGACAGGCCTGCTGATCCTATGGTCCCACCACCTCTTGCAGCCACTACACCGTAGCTATGCCAGTTTTACACAGGCGTTGCATAAGTAGTGGCAGACCGTGCTCTTAGCTGGGATTTTCTTCCTACTCACCCCACTACAATCAACTCAAAGAAAGGACTACAATGTTAGGCTTTGTTTAATGGCTCAGTGAAAAGCTTGCTCTGGCATGTAGCAGGTGGGAAGAAGCAGATTACTATGTCAGGGACTATTAGGAAAAACAAGGCGAAATTTTTAAAAATACTGCCTGTCTGAGGACATGCTCTGTGAAATAAGTTACTAATGTGTCAGCAAAGATTATGTAAAGCTGATCCTTAAACAGTATCTGTGTTAATACTGATACTTATAATTCTTTCTCCTTTTTTAAAAAATTCTTTCTTTCTTTCTTTCTTCTTCTTTCCCTCCATCCCCACCCCTTATCTGACTATGTTGCTATGCTCCAGTTTGCAGTCAGGGACAAGACCACAACCTAGTGGTAGAGCACATCTCTGCATTTCAGTTCCCAAAAACACCTGTTAAAAGACACCCAACAACAGGGCTGGAAAATAGCTCTTACTGATTCCTTGCAAAACAGCTGCTACTATTCAGAACAGAAAACATTGAACTAGATGGACAGCTATCTTGATGTAATCTAATACTGTACTTCCTGTGTTCTTGACATGTGCAAAAAATAAGAGCAAGGAGTTAGGCTCACACAAGAATTCTGCGCTTCCTGAAGATATATATATATTGGACTTATATACCGCCCCATAGCGCTACAAGCACTCTCCAGGCGGTTTACAATTTAATTATACAGGCTACACATTGCCCCCCCAGCAAGCTGGGTACTCATTTTACCGACCTCGGAAGGATAGAAGGCTGAGTCAACCTTGAGCCAGCTACCTGGGATTTGAACCCCAGGTCGTGAGCACAGTTTTAGCTGCAGTATTCTTCATGTCATCCATTCAAGCAAGCATTGCAAGATGCACCACAGAAAATGAACCTCATTTTCATCAGGTGCAAAGCAATACTCCTATCTGCCTGCTAAATAAAGAAGTATCATGTAATGAAATATTAACAAAACTCCGAGCCCACCTCTTCCACAACAGCCATCAACTGCTCCACAGGGGAAGGGCTGATATCTCCAACAAGGAGTGCATCAAGGTAGTTCTCTTTAGTTATGTTTTCGTTCTTCTTCTTCACGAAATAAATCCCTTTATTCTTCAGTGTTGCTGGGAAGCCAAGGCAAGGAACTAGTTGCCCAGTGGGATTGAGGGTGATCACCAGTGCTGTCAGGTCTGGCTTCTCATAGAACTCATTGAGCATGGCAAGGACATCCTCACTGGTGGCAAACTTGGCCCATTTGTCAGGTTTAACACGAAGAGAGAGATTGCAATAGTTTTCTATGAAATCCAGTCGTTTGTCACCTACTGTTGCCATCCTGGTTACTCAGTAGCTAGCCAATACAGTATATGGACAAGACTAAGGTAACACACTGGAAAATCTTCTCTGTCAATACTTTACTTTTCCTGCATTGGAAAGAAAGCTTCTTGTCAAGATGCTTGCAGAATCATCAACTTCCCCAGAAACCATGCTGATGTCCCCCTCCTTATAGAGTATATACCAATATTGCAGTAAGCATTACAAAGGAGGGTTTGTGCTGGGTTTAATTTTAGATTGAGATTCATTGGCCATCACCTTTGGGAAAAATAAAAGCTTTCTGCAATTGATGTATCTGTGAATAGCCAATAAAAGACAGGCAGAACCTGGGTCACACTGAAAGGCTCTACCCTCTAACTTGCTCATATTGATCAAAATTTCTATAGAGGATCTGTTGAAGCCTCTACCCTCCAGCTTCCTGACTGAAACGCTCCTATGCTCCAGAACCACTAGAAATCAGTGCCTTCAGATTCTGTCCCAGAGAGATGACCTAGAAGTATATCATGGTCAATGATACTGAAAGCTGCAGAGAGACCCAGCAGAATCAACAGAAATACACTCCCCTGTTCAATTCCCAGCATAGATCATCCACCAAGACAACCAAAACTATTCCTGCCCTGTGGCCAGGGCTAAAGCCAGATAGCAACTGATCTACCCTGTTTTCCCCAAAATAAGACCTGACCTGAAAATGAGCCCTAGTATGGTTTTTCAGGATACTCGTAATATAAGCCCTACCCCAAAAATAAGCCTCAGTTAAATGAAACCCCACTATTGTGCAGCATTGTGCAGCAACCAGAAGAAGATGACATGACTGTATTTGAATAAATGTGGATTGTTGCACATGAAAAAAAAATCCCTGAAAATAAGTCTTAATGCTTTTTTTGGATAAAAAATTAATATCAGACCCTGTCTTATTTTCGGGGAAACACAGTAGATAATTAGATTCATCATGGTGACACTAGGGGGAAAACTGTATTTGTATTAGATTTAGCATGTTTTAAATTGATCTTAGAAAAGGTGACTACAGATTCATCCAGGCATCTCTGGAGTTAAAGAAGCCAGCACATACTTTAGTATCTGGCCCAAAAATAGTATATTGGAGATTAGCTGGTAATTATCCAGTACAGTGGGGTTCAAGGAGGGTTTTTCAACAAAGATCATATTACCATTTCTTCTGGGCCAGCTGGAACACTATCTTGTCCTAGCGAGGGAGAGATCCATCACTGCCCTCACCCATTTGGCCATTGTGCCCTGGCGGTTTCTATTAACCAGGAAGGGCAAGAATCACACATACAAGAAGTGGCTTTCACCTCACCAAAGGATCCGGTCAACATCCTTAGGCTGGACAAATTTACCCATTAATACAGGACAAGCAGAGGTCAAAGGTACATCCAAAAGACGCTGAGATTCAATAGTTTTAAACATTAAACAATTGTTAAATCTGAGCAATAAACAATATGGATTTTATGTCTCCTATCACCTTATTCTAGTCCTGTACAAAGTTCAAGGTGACAGCCGAAGAACTGATGCTTTTGAATTGTGGTGCTGGAGGAGACTCTCAAGAGTCTCCTGGACTGCAAGGAGAACAAACCTATCAATTCTAAAGGAAATCAACCCTGAGTGCTCACTGGAAGGACAGATCCTGAAGCTGAGGCTCCAGTACTTTGGCCATCTCATGAGAAGAGAAGACGCCCTGGAAAAAGACCCTGATGTTGGGAAAGTATGAAGGCAGGAGGAGAAGGGGACGACAGAGGACGAGATGGATGGACAGTGTCATCAAAGCTACCAGCATGAATTTGACCCAACTCCGGGAGATAGTGGAAGACAAGAGGGCCTGGCATGCTCTGGTCCATGGGGTCATGAAGAGTCGGACACGACTTAACTAAACAACAACAAGAACACAGTCCAAGGAAGAGCAATTGACACTGGCTAGGGCTATAGTTTAAGGGCTTATTAAATTAGAGGAATAACAATACTCACAAGAGTTGTCCTGATTTTTTTTGGGGGGAGGATGGGTACCACAACCTTTTTCTTTGATTAAATGTACTGATACAGTTCAGAGGCATCCACTCAAGCTACTCAACTGCTAAGGAATACCGCCTCCCTCAAGGTTCTTGTGGCCTCAACTGCCACCTTCTGCTAGAACTTTCTTTTACTGAACTGGAAATTATGCTTCCACAGTTTGTAAAATAGGAGGTGATGCTTTTAGAGCAGATGTCTTTTTACGATTTCATCATCATTCCACTGTTGCATATTAAAATACGCACAGCATTCTGGGGGTTTCATTCATGGGAACAGTACAGTATTGGTTGACTGTTGTTAATAGCCCTGCTCTGCTCTTGCAAATTCCAGGATATTTTACCTTGAGTGACTAGGAGTCCTGACTTATAATGGAGTCTAGCCTCCTGATGGCTTTGTTCTGCCCTGTTAAGGCTTCTCTGACAGACACAAGACTCTTTGCCATATTAAGGTGTGCATCCAAGAGGGAGAGAGCTCATGTTTAGTTTGTTGGAAAGGAAAAGCAAATTATTAACTAAGTCATTATAGTAGTTCTGAACTTTTTTTTTAAGGAGGGTACATCACAGTATTCTAAAAATTGCTGAATGTGTCCTAAAAGCAACTTTCCTCCTAACTAGCAGAACAACAGTATATTAGTCATGATAGAGTGGAGCTGGCCTTCAAAGACAAAGTTAATTCCTTCTTCCAGGGAAGGTGGAGCCATGTCACTCACTGTGAGGGTTCGTACTTTGCCTCCCTTACTTTAAACAGAGACTCTGGAGACACTTGCGTTGAAAAGTCATAACTAGTTTTATTGGAACATGTAACAATAAATATTTTTGCCCAAACTCAGCTTTCTCTCATTGCCAACGGATCCGACGAGGGCATCCAAACGTCTTTAACAAATGGGTTGCAGCCCAACTCGTCCCAAGGTCCTTTCAAACACAGATGACTTTTTTCCAACTCACAAGTCTCTGTCTCAGGGTTTAGTAGCAGAGTTGGCTCCTCATCTTGCACCTCTGTCCCATAAGGGTTTTCCTCTTCTCGTAGAGGGCTCCATGTTCGATTAAGTAGCCCCTCCTCTGGGCTTCTTCTAGATGCCATACCTGGCGTGCTCTCTTTTCTCTGTCTACCGCCTCCTTTTCCTCCCCGAGCCGCCTGTGCCACTCTCTGGCCTCAAACTCTCCCCAATAGGAAGGGCATTGCGGTAGACCCCTTCTCCGGGAGTAATCAACTTCCTCTCGGGGAACCCATACCTTCTCCCATTTACCAGTCCAAGGGTCCTCTACCCCAGCGGTCCCCAACCTTTTTCAGTCCGCGGACCAGCTGGGGAAGGTAGAGCACCCCCCTGCACACTCGTGTGCATGTGTGAACAAGCATGCACACACTCTTGTCCGAGTGCACGTGTCCCCATGTGAGCGCTGCACTGCCGTTTGCGCATGTGTGTGGGCGCACAAGTGCTTGTGCGCATGCACAAACAGCAGCACGGCACTCGGATGGGTGTGTTGGAGCGCACGTGCAGGCGCAAACAGGGGTAAGTGCAGGGATAAGTGCGTGCGCGGGATCTGTCTCGGCAGCCTGGTCCAGCTCAGGCCACAGACCAGCACAGGGCCGTGGACAGGGGTTGGGGACCTCTGACCTAATGGATCAAAACTCTTTGTGAATCAAGCGTTTCTATACCAACAGTCCTGGCTCAAAAAGATAACATTCTTTCAGAGCTATAATGTTATTAAAGATGCCTGCTGTCCAAAAAGCTTTGTATCTTTCCTTTGTCACTCTTTTCCAAGATTCTTTGGTGGACTCTGGTAGCTCTAATCCTGAGCCTGGGATCTGGACCAGCAGTTCCCAGCCTTGGATCCCCAGATATTCTTGGACTGTGACTCCCATAAATCCTGGCCAGCTCAGCTCATAGTGAAGGCTTCTGGAAGTTTTAGTCTAGAAACATCTGGAGACCACTGACCAGATAGTTGTTTCTTCATACAGCTAAGAAAATCAAAAGGACATCTGCACATAAACTTAGACATTTCTATGCACTTTTAGACTACAGAAGTCAGATGCCTTCTCTGTGCTCCCCTTGAAGCACTACTGAGCATTCACATGCAAAAGGCCTTTCTTCCCACCTTTACTATGATGATTCCTGCCAGACCCATCACTCTGTGAATGTCACAGGCAGGTATGAGCTAGTTAATAACTATGATGTGGCCAGTGAGAAGTGCTAGTGAGGCAACCATTTGGGATGAACAGACAAATCTCCCACAGATTCCAAGGCAATCTCCTCTGTAGCAGCAGATAAGAAACCACACACATCTCAGTGAGGGGTGGGGGGAGATACTGAGCCTGCAAGTCTTTGCTGATCTCCATATCCTTGTTATTTCAAACGGAAATTGAAAAATGTTAATGTCCTGGCATATGATCAAGGCATAAGCTAGGGCATTGAACTTCTTCAGTATCTATATACTGACAGCAGTCCATGTTGCTGCATTTTGTTGCATGCCCCTGCTTCCTATGTAATAAACATTCTAGAAATGTTTATGCAATAAGAATACCAATTAGTTGCTTGGAATTTTTTGTAGAGTATTATGAGGTTAGTATCAGAAAAATCAGGGTTCTAAAGTGTGCGGGGAGCCTGTATGAATGTTGAAGTCTTCCCACTGCAGACATTCACCATCCGTACCGGGATGACAAAAAGACAAGTGAGAGAGAGGGATCAGAGCTAGTGCACTTGCCCACACTCTCAAGCTTAACATTTCCCTCAACAAGAATGCCTGACGATGGCCCCTGTGAAAGACTTCAGAGCTTATCTGGTTTGTAAGGAATAAATAATTCCTATCCAGAAAATCTAGATTGCAACTTGATGCTATTCAAATAATCTATGATTTGGCATGTCTTTCAGCCTCTCTCATACTGTGTCCTTCTGAGGATGATGAAACAGCAGTTATGTACTGTCTGAAGGACATGCATTATTAACTGAAACCAAGTGAGGCAAAATTATTGTGCAGCTGCTTGAACAGCTACGAAGTATTTTGCTATTTGGCACCACTGTTAGCAAATGCAGGAAGATGTAGATTGTTTCTCATTTAATGTTGTGTGATAGATACTTTGGTAAAAGTTATCTTGGACAAGGATTGTGAGGCAAACAGTAATCTGCTAAAATGGTGTGACTGATCTAAATATAAGCAAACACACTTAAGTTGAAGAAAACTTGACCTTGAGACAGACTATATAGAGAGATTTATAAGTAAAAGGAAGTACAAACATGCAATAAAAGTTTAAAATGCCTCATAAGAAGGAAAAGAAATGAATAATGGAGAGGAGAGTAATTTATCTGATGCAATCTTGACCAGTGGGAAGCTGGAAAAGAAAAATCGGAGGAAGAAACTGAGGGACAGGAAACTGAAGGATCAGAACAAAATGTGAATAGGTTCAGATAGAAATTTCTAAGAAATTAATCCTAGAAGTATTACAAAATCACCTTTGAGGAAAACGTATTATAAAAATAAATTAAAAAATCTGTACATCAGAATGGGGGAAACAGAACTATTACATCTGCGTATTACAGATGTAACTATTACATCAACCCGAGGAAAAGTGTATTAAATCTTCCTTAATTCCCAGAGAAAAAGTGAGCTTTAACTATTGAAAAGGAAAAAAAAAAGACAATTTAAGTTTCAAGACACTAGTCCTCAGACAGGACAAACACCAACAGGTCACTCACTAAAATTTGATAAAGAGATCTCAGGCAGGGGGATAATGTGCTGAGGGAAAGCCAAAGAATTAGGCTAGAAATGGGACAATACAAATAAACCTGTTAAAAACACTGAGAAAGCCAAGTTGTGTAAAATAACACTTGGAAATGATCCACAAATAGCAGAAATAACTGAGATAAAACGTATCTGAGGGAACACTTGAAAAAAAAATTAACAAGGCCTCAAATGAAGCCTACCATTTTCCTGAATGTTCAGGCCAAGTAGGCCTTCTTTTCTCACCATGGAAATTAAATTCCCTCAAAGAGAATGTAAACATGTTGCATCTAATACTTTAAAAAAATCTCAAATCTTAAATTAAAACAATTTGAACAGTATAATGAAAAGAAAAGAAACATTATCTGATGCAAAATTAGAAAATATCAGAAACATTGCAAAGGCTAATGACTGCAAAAAAAAATTAGAGTTTAAAGAATGGAAGAAACGGCTTCATGTGTCTCTATCAAACAGTAGCGCTTCTGATGTCTAATAAAGAATATGAAGTTAATTTGGAAAAAAATTAAAACCACGGAGGATAATGCATTGAAGAACCTTGCAAGTAAAGGCTTGGGATAAAGCAAGAGTACTTAATAAAATCCCCAGAGTCAAAGATGTAGAAGTCTTTAATAGGGTAGGAACTGATACGTACAATGGTTTCTTTTTCTATCATTTATTTATTTATTTATTTATTTATTTATTTATTTATTTATTTATTTATTTATTTATACATACATACATACATACATACATACATACATACATACATACATACATACATACATACATACATACATACCCCGCCTATCTGGTCGATATGACCTCTCTAGGTGGCTAGAGATTCAATCTCATACCAAGAGATTGAAAATATATACAGTATTAGTAGTGGTAGAATTGGCGAATAGATATTCAGAGGCAGTTAAAGACTGTTAAAAAAATTTTGAAATATGTGCACATAAAAATAACATTCAAGGAAGAGTGGGTTTTTGGGGGCACAGTTCTTTAAGAAACATATTTACAGTGGGTAAAAGGGCCTTGTTCGGTAAAAAATGGGGTTGTTTCCTGAGTTTTAATAAAATGGATAAATCTAGCATTAGAGTTCAGATTATAGATAATATTGGAAAGGTTTTGGTGTCATAAACAAAAGCAGTTGTTTGCTGTGATTTGGCTCTATTGTGGGGATACAAAGTGAAATCAACTATAAGAGATGTGTGTGACAAATACATGGCTGATGAAAAACATAAAACAGCAGTTCACTGTTTATATAAGTATCAGTGAAGGATTGGAGCATTGTATTACAATGATGTGTTATGTGTTTGACCAGATGCATGGTGCAGACAGGAACTCTTCAAGCAGTGTGTCAAAATTGCTAGGGGCTGAAATTAAAGGCCCTTTTATGATAAGTCAATCCAGAGAAAGACATGAATGTTAGGTTCTACTTGCTGGGTTTAAAAATTGGCAAGGACCGAAAACATGCCTAACAAAAGCAAGGTCCTGATTTGCAAAGTTGTTATAGAAGAGAGCTTTTCAAATCAGTGATATGAAGCAAAGATTATAATTGCACTTTCAAGTACATCAAACTATAATCTTACACCTAGTTGATGAAATACTGGACGAGTTAGGCTTTTGGCTATGGAGCCAAAGGCAGGGAGTTCAGTTCCGTGTTGTGCATCCTAGAAAAGCCAGCCTGCATATCCTTGGGCAAGCTGCCCTGTCCCAGGGTGCCCTCAGAAGAAGGGAATGGTAAATCACTTCTGAGTACTCTCTCTACCTAGAAAACTCTGCAAAAGTTTTAACCAAATACCTATCTGTCAAATATTGGTGCAGTGTGTATGTTGTTCCTAATATTGCCGGAGATTTTTGTAGCTCTGATGGTGCAATTTCTGAGAACTGCAACTGCTTATAGTACTGTGTGAAGTTTCTTGATATTGTTCCCAAAGCCCCAATGACTACGGGGATCACTAAAGTGTGTTTCTTCCAGAGGTGAGAAGTTTCGATTGCCAGGTCGCTGTACTTTCTTAATTTTTCCAATTCTTTATTTTCAACTCTGGCATCCCCTGGAATTGCAATGTCAATGATCTGGACCTTTCTCCATTCTATTACTACTATGTCTGGTGTATTATGGTCAAGGTGTCTATCTGTTTGGATCCAGAAATCCCACAAGATTTTGACTTCCTTATTTTCTGACACCTTCTCTACTTGATATTCCCACAGGTTTTTGGAGGCTGGCAAGTTATATTTTTTGCTTCATCATCATTGTTATTTATAGATGAACCCTACAGATCTTCCTTAGATGTAAGACATGCTTCAGCAGCCTTAGAAATTCCAGAGGGCTGTAGTGAAGCAGAAAACGTCTCCTGTTGACAAGTCCATATCAGAAACGTAATAATCGCATTGGCAATTATTACAGCATGGTTGTTGTGGGTTTTTTGGGCTTCTTGGCCGTGTTCTGAAGGTGGTTTTTCCTAACGTTTCGCCAGTCTCTGTGGCCGGCATCTTCAGAGGACAGCAAACTGTGCTCTGGTGTAGTTTGGCTAGGCCATGGAGTATTTATGGCTGTGAGTTGGGATGATTAGTGTGTATTGTTGTGGGTGTATTGTTTTCTGTGGATGGATGATTAGTGTGTTTTGTTGTGGGGGTATTGTTGTGATAAGGAGATTATCTGTCACTGTGGTTGCTGGTAGGGATCCCCTTGACCTTGTGGTTGGGTAGAGTTCGTGACCTTTTGCATGCTGTATTTTTGAGAGCTGGGAGCCAAGTTTTGTTGAGTTTCAGACTTTCCTCTTTTTGTTGAAGTTTTTCTGATCCTTGTGGATTTCAATGGCTTCCCTGTGCAGTCTGACATAATGATACTGGTGTTGTCCAGTATTTCAGTATTTTGAAATAGAATTTCATGTCCAGTTTGTTTTAGGGCATGCTCAGCTACTGCAGATTTTTCTGGTTGTTTTAGCCTGCAGTGTGATGTTCTTTGATTCTGGTATGGATGCTTCGTTTTGTGGTTCCAATGTGGTTGGGTAGTTCGTGACCTTTTGAGAGCTGGGAGCCAAGTTTTGTTGAGTTTCAGACTTTCCTCTTTTTGTTGAAGTTTTTCTGGTGCTTGTGGATTTCAATGGCCCCCTCACCACTGCAGGAGTATACCGGATACCTTGCAGTTGTGGCCAGGTATACATTTGTTTGTGCATTAATTTCATACACAGAGAGTAAGTCTTAATGCACAAGACAAAATATATACACCATAGACACATTCATTATGCAGTGAGATGGCACAGAGACCTTAAATGTGAATACTACAAAAATCCTTAGGTGCACTTACCTGCAGTTTCTCAGGGCTTTTTATGAAGAGGCTGCCAGATTTCCAAAATTCACACATTTTTATGAGCAAACAAAAAAGGCAAACCTATTTTGATGGTGGCTGGCACAACTTTTAGTTCAAATCAGTTTGCATTAAATCAGGCCCTCAAGTAAATAGGGTGGTGGTCTTCATGCTGGGCAAACCAAAATTTCAAATCTGGATATACACAAAACAATCAGAAGCCCAGAACCATGTATCAAACTGAAACAGGTCATTCCCTTATCACCATTAATGTGAGTGAAACTGACTTTTCTACACTTTATAGATACTACTTCTAAAGAGCAGTTGTGCATAAACGTGGACAGTGAACATTTTGAAATTCAGTAAACTCTTAAAAAGCCTATAATCATCAATAGAAACAGAGCCAGACATGGTAGACTGATTTAAGGAAGAGATACTCTCTGAAGGACTGGACTATTAAATTAACCCAAAACCGAGATGATGCTGCCACCTGCTGACCATCTATCAGGGTAGCTCTGAACTTCCACCCAAGGAGAGGGAGGATAAATAAGGCACCCTGCTCTCAGATTGCTTGCTCTAAGGTTTCTTAAAGTAAGTAATAATTTGTGGGACTGGCCACGATTCCTCTGCTGGTGAGAGTGGGCTTTCCACCTCCCTGAGAGTCAAGGTGAGATTCCCAAAGCACAGTTTACCTCTGGACTGGGGTGGTGGCAGCGCAGAAACAGATGACACCTCAGAAGCCACACCCTGGGTGGGGATTTAAGGAGGAGAGGGGGACCAGGGGAACTGCTAGGCTGATGCCGTAGATTGGCAGGTGTTTGAGCCCAAGAGGTGTTGGCATTACCAGAGTGCTTGGTGGCCAACAGAAACCATCCATTGTCAGGAGCCAGACACTGGGCAATGGGAGGAGTTCCTGATGCCGCCCAAGGAAGCAGCTCAAGTACACTGAGATGAGACAAGACAAGGCTAGGCTAAAACACTGGAACCAGTAGTGAGTGCACCACTGGAAGAGGAAGCAGTAGGAGCAATCAACCTCACAGCAAGGACCTCCCAGTCAGCATACCTGATGCCAGTCAGTCGCCCTTCCTCCTATATCACCTCCCTCCACACCTTGTTACTCTGGCAGGCCCAGCCATGTCAAGATAAACTTTGGCCATGCCTCCAAGGAGGAGTATCATACTTATGGAGTGGCTGCTACCAGCAATGGCTAGAGAGGGGTAGCTGCCATGTTGGTTCATGGCCAGTTGAGTGCCTGGATCCAGCAGCCAAGTTGTGGCATTCTGTGTCTAGCCTGCCAGTGAGAACTGGTAGATAATGTAGGGCTCTGCTACCCCCAGTAAAAGACTGTTGTGAGGTTGTTCTCTGTGTTTTGGACCATGTGGGAGTGAAATTAGCTCCCTGGCATCCTAAAAGCTTATAAGTTTACTATTGAGTCACATTTTCTTATTAAGTTGTGTTTCTCCAATAAAAGAGCTTGTTCCTGTAAGTACTTGTCATGTCATGATGAATGGGCACATAGCGGGCACTCACACAAATAAGTAAAAACTGCCTGTATGTAGAGCATTGTATTATTTTCTTGCCTGACAGAGAAGGATCCTCTCTCCTAATCATAGGATCATGCTTTGCCTTTCTTCTGCTATAAGAGTTGAACAATTGTGACTTAATAGAACGGACATACAAATCTCATTGATGAACATCCTCTGATGTGCTTATATCTCAAAGTATGGCTGAGCAAAGAATATGAGCACTGCAGAGATGTTCAAGGAAAAGTGAAATGGACGCGGAATATAACTGACTGGGTGCACCACTGTGCTTATTTGTAACAAAACGGGGAAGCATTGTAGAAATGTCCATAATTTAGCCAAGTGCTTATGTTGCTTATTCATCACATTTTACATGTGCTAGGAATATGGTCAAATTTGTGATTGGTTAACTATGGTGCACAGACTGAGTATCCCAATGTGATTTCCTGAGTTACCTGTAAACCACCACATGGTATTCTTCCTCCAGCATTTAATGAAGCCACACACCTGTAACTACAGAGTTAACTAAAAAAACTACAGATTTATCATAAAAAGGTTGATGTTTGCTCTGAATTATTATTGTAATGTAGCTATATTTTGCTATTAAGGGGGAAAAAGAATGAATTATAAGTAACTAGTTACTTGGAAGCAGTGCCAGAAATGCATATAACTATACTGTAGATCAGAAGACTAGACACAGCCAAAGACAGGCATCCAGCCAAGTGTGAGATCAACATTTATTTGCTGTGGTTGCTGTGTGCTAGATCACAAGTCTGTGGCAAAACAAAACAAAAACCCTGGAAAAAGGACTCAAAACTGTAACCAAACCAATTGACCCAGAGAAACTTCCACCCCTCCTCCCACATTCCCCTTGTGCCCCAGCCACATTTCAGAATCCTGTTAAGTTTCACAAAAACAATCATCTTATTTAAAACAAATACAAAATAATCTAAAAGGGGGGAAAACTCTATACAGAAAGTATATACATCTCAGATAAATAGACTAATACTGAGGTGGAGAACTGGAGCTGGCCAAGGAGCATGATGAATTCATCGACAAGGGAAGGCAGTCTTCTTATGCCACCCCATCTCCATGTTTCAAATATGAGCCATCATGCCCCATCATATGGACCCTTGCCCCCTCCCTCCGTGGGCTCCCAATAATTACCTAGCCAACAACCACCTGTCCTTGTGCTTCTACTACCTCCCACTGGTCTAGGGTGGACTTCATTTCAGGTCACCCAACTCCACTCCTACTGAAAAGTGCAAGTGAAACAGGACAGATGAAGTTAGAAAACTCCAGTGCCAGTTCTTCAACACTTCTTTCTGCCATGACTGCTTCATGCCTTTTCTTTTCTGTTCCTCAGCAACACATGAGCTTAAACTGAGGCTGGAAAGTGCAGATCCTATCTATTGAAGGGACAGGATCATGCTCAACTGGGATCAGTCCAGCAATTGTTGACAAAAGCAGCCTATAATGTGTCAACAATGGTTAATGCCTCCTCCATACGCACAACTGCATGCACATCCATATTGCCTTCTCAGGATGGTTGGATGGCCAAACTGAGCCCAGCTGATCTCATTTTGACATAGCATCAGAGACAGCTTAAAGAGATGCCCTCTAGAACGAAGGCAATTGAAATTCTGGAAGCAGCAGCCTTACATTATTCATCCATGCTGGCTGTTGGGGCCAATTCCCTTGCTTGCTTATTTCCAACATGGTTAATAAAATTTCTTGTTGAAGACAACCCCAGAAATTAAATGTAACAGAGTGCACAATACAATTGCTTTAAGAAAGGAAGCCTTCAGGCTTGCACAACCAAGGAATAAGGAATCACAGCAACCCGAGTGCCATGGAAACCTTTATGTTTCAATGCTAGAAAGTCTTACCCTTCACCCTATTGCAGACTGATCTCTGCCTTTGGCAGTCTGTGGTTTATCCTTGGTTCTGGGACTGTCAGGCTGTCAACATGAAGCCTGGTGCAATTCACTCTTTCCAATGACAGCTTGAATAGATTTATGCCCATCTGGCTATGGTAGTAGGAAAGATCCTAACCACATTTTCTCCCTGCCCCCTGGGCTACCAAAGACACAACTGGCTTCAAGCTGCCCAGCTGAGGGGCTGGCAGGGAGATGGCATTCTTGCAAATAAAGTCTTTAGGAGTTGGTGCCTGCCAATGGCATATCTCCCCCTTCCACCAACTCTTCCTGCCCTCAAACCAGAAAAGATTAGCAAAAGCTGAAGCTAGTCCCCTCAGGGTAGCAATACAGAGCAGGCGGTTCCATGTAGTCTCTGGTTCCCCTGTACCAGAGGGCTGAAAAACATCCCCTGTCAACATCATGGCTGCATAAAACAAGCAGGTGCCTAATGCCTCTTGGTGGAGGAAACCTTCTTCTTTCGGGCTGCAAGCATCTCATAGAATGGGTCCCGGCTAATGGCAGCTCTGATGTGGGAGAGGAAAGAGAGAGAGAAAGGAAGAAGCATTAGGGGGAATCCCAGATTGATCACAAATGTTTCCCAACCGCTACTAAAATTAAAGAAGCCAGGAGAACTAACCTTTTTTAAAGGTTATAGTGGGCATAATTTAGCTAAAAATGGAGGGGGGCGCACACAAGGGAATTGTGAGTGAAGATTGTAATGTTCCCTAAGGATTGCCCAACTTCCTTCCTCAGTCCCTCAATATCAATGGCAAAGAGCAACACAGGAGGCCAACTACTTCTGGAACCTATTCTGAGTTTCTGTCTCTCCATCCCCATAGATCCACCAATCTTACCCATCACAGATCTATGAGTCAGAAAGGGAAGCACAGGAATTCATTCACCTCCTGCTTTTCCAGAAAGGTGGTTCATTACTTGCTGCTAGCCAAATGTCTAGAAATTCCTTGGGCATCTTCACTTTACTTCTGCCCCTAACTTGTTTCCCTTTCTCCTCTTCCTGCTCACTTACTTGATGCACTTGATCCACTCCTCCTTCTCTTCTGGGGTGGGTGCAGAGATGCGGTAAACAGTGTGGTTCCCTTCTACCACCCGCCCATCTGCCTCAGTCTTACAGGCCTTGATCACCTGGTCTTTGTTGTCAGGGATATACAGCTCAAAACAATTCTGCAAGAAGAGTGGATCAAAGAGAACTGGTGAACACCACAACTTCAAAATGATACCCATTCCCTAAGAGTCCCTCCCATATGGGAAACCAGAATGCCTTTCATTAATAATAATAATCATACCACGAAACCAATCCCACGATCTGATTAATTTGAATTGGGAAGCCATGATTAGCTTCAGAACACGTCATGATATTAAAACATAGTTTGCATTGGTTTGATATGTTGGCTTGTTCTGGGTAGCTGCATGTTGGTTGTCTGACAGGTACATCATCTATGAGCCAAAGCAGGTTCCACAATTGCCCATCTTTGTGCAGTCATGTAGAAGCAACAGGATTCTGGCCATAGATGCTGATAACATTTATTTCTGTTCAGATGCTATAGTTTCCCAGCATGTGGAGGTCTCTACAAGCCAGTATATTTTCTAGATTCTGTGCTGTGTAAGCAAAGAAAATAATATACCATGCAAAATGCAGTGCTATCCTGAGAAAGGCAGCAATTGTTTCCACGAATGAAGTTCCTTGCCTTTAGAGTAGCAAAGACAGAATTGGAAAGGGCTATTTGGGTCTACCTGTGCAGAGTTCTTGCTGCTCACTGCTTACAGTGTGTCCTTGCCTAGCTTTTCTTTTTCCCCATGACTATCAAAAGCAGAACAAGTTCTGCACTGTGAGCAAACCTGCACAATACAGCTCTTCTTGGTACTAGGTTTGGGTTCTTTCCCCCCCACCCCTTTCTTTTACAGCATTAAAAGATACAACACTTTCTTCTCAGCTCACCAAGCTAGAAGCTCTGGAAGCAGCACTTGCTTACCGGTTTCTTAGAATCCTCCACCTCACGGATACTCAGGTTCTCCAGTGGAATGATGCCTCGTGGTTCCTTGTCCTGAAAGAAAAATGCTTGTGAATGCAGCAGTGATAAGCTTGTGCATTCTGAGAAATGCCACATGTTTCTCCATCCCAAAAATGAACAATGAAATGGCTTCCCTTCTCAGTAAAATTAGTCTCTAATGGTAATCTATTACAGCGCACAGTAGATCTACTGCACCAAGGAGCACTATACTATAGCATAATGAATAGTATCAGTTTCATGTTTAAGTCTGCTGTGCCTCCTTATGGCTAGAATCTTCCATTCTAGCCATAAGGAGGCACACATTCCTATCCAAATAATTCAACTTCTAAGCTCTTATGTAAATGTAAAATTACATGCCCTACTCCCGTCTTTCAAAGGAGCATGGCAGCAACCCTGTCAGGTAACTGCATATATCTGCAGCATAACTTGAGCCCCTTGAGCCACTCACCGTGGTGTACTCAAAGTAGTAAAGGCAGTTGTCTGTCAAGATGAACCAGCGCCGTTTCCATGTCTTCACCCGGCCACCTGCACAACGAAGAAGCAAGCTTGACAACGCTTGCCCAAGGCAAAGGGTGGATGCTGGGCACAAGAGCAGCTAAGGCAGAGGCAGAGCTAGAGGCTATGGGCACGGACAGACAGTATCAGAGCAAGTGGTGTGAACAGCGCAAGCAAAGCCAGCCCCACACCACAGCAGCGGGTGGCTACATGACAAGAAAAAAAAAGCTGTTGGGGGGGAGTGGTGGTGGCCACTGGGGAAGTGCCCTACAGTGTACCATCAAAAGCAGATGCTGATTTGTCATGCACATCAGTCCTGGGGAAGAGGTACTGTTTTCCCACTGATGCCAAGATATGCTTAGGGCAACCATGTCCAAAGCCTGCAACAGAACCAGCACTGAAAACAATACAATCCCCAGAGAAACCTGCTTGTATGAGGCTGCCCTCTAACCTGGCATCCTACCTATTTTATAGGAAATGGGACAGAACGGTGGGATTCACAATGCAACCAAGGGTTTCCCTGGCAGAGGGGCGGCTAGTTATTATAAAGCAGATCTCCCACCCTGTGATGTGAAGGAACCCATCTTTATGGTCCCAGGTTATGGTCACTGCAAGTTTTCTGTTCTGCCCTAACACACACTATTCTAGGCACCTACAAGAACAGTTCACTAATATCCTTCAGATTAAAAGGGATAAATATTGATGCAGCAAGTATCTCATCCTGTCCTAGGGTGGTTTTAAAAATTTGGCCTCTAGACATGGGAAGGCTGAGCTGAAATCCACATGAGAAAAAAAAAGTGAGCCACATGGTGTGCTATGCAGGTATGACTTGCCCTCCCCAAACTGGTATTTACCCACAAACCCCATCATCCCTAGGCAGCATAGCCATGATGGCTGGGGGATAAGAGTTGTAGTCCAAACCGGGGGACTGGGGGGGGGGAACCAGGCTGGGAAAAAGTGGCCTAGCTGAACATATTCTTCTCAGATGTTTTGCTAATCCAGCTCTAATAATGATGGCGGGAATGGTGAGATTTGGCTTGGAACTGGAATCCATTGAGCAATATCTCTGCCTTCTGAAATGTAAAGACAAGCCACACCTCACCACCATTCTCAAGATGATGCTGAATTCTATGTCCAGCTACAGCTGAGAATGTTATCAGAACATTCACAGGCTGGTCAGATTCAAGTTCTGGGACTTTGGTATGGTGAACACTTTGGACAAAGTGGCAAAGATACTGAAGGGCCCTCACTCCAGAAACTTTCCGGTAAGAGATCATAAGACGGTGCCTTCCAAGTTAACATCTGTTTCCACTCAGGCCCTGATTTTAAGAAGGGAACAAAAAGACATCTTCTTAGACTACCATATGTCTACCTTGCCCTGCTTGTTTTTTTACTGTGTTATTTGTTGTTTTTAATGGTTTTAATATACTGAAACCATTTGAATAGTTTCACAGTGAAATGGGTTTAGTTGACATAATTTTAGATAAATATGCTAAATATTTAGCTAAAATAATTTAGCTAAATATTTAGCACATTTATCTCAAAATTCAGATCATTTAAATATATTAAAACCATTAAAAACAACACAGTAAAATAAAATATTTTAGCTAAATATTTATTTGCTTTTATTCTTTTAAGAAGTTTGTGAGCCACCTTGAGCATTGTTTTAGTGGAAAGGAAAGGTATAGATGTAATAAATAATGAATACAACTCATATATGGTTCTGAATACTGTAACAAGTCTACAGAGACTCACCGAAACGATCAAGAGCCAAAGCTGCCTAACCCCACCCACCAAAAAGCAAAACACCACAGCCGACAGAGCCAACTCTAGCTGTCCCATCCCAAGCAAAGGCTGCAACACAGTGCATCATACATACAGATAGATGGCTGTGAATTAGAGAGGCAGGAGGTACAGGGCAGGCAGGCATTGAAAAGATCATGGAGGGGGTGGTAGCAGGGAGACAGCAACAGCACTGAGGCACTTCTGTCCGCATTAACTGCTCCCTCAAACCCAGCAGAGGCAAGAAGAGCCAAAAGCAAAGAGGCAGCCATCTCAAAGCCCTACCCGGGGAGGCCCTGACAACCACATACAGGCACACACAACAATAAGGCCTCATTCAGCAACACAAGAACACAAAAATGAAACAGCCCAAAAACAAAAACAAAGAAAAGAAAAAAGGGTGGGGGGGAGAAAAAAAAAAGAAAAAGCCAGAGCCTCCATATAGTGTCTGCTACAGTCCCCAGGGAACACAGAAATCCCCACTAATTGCCAGTCCCTGATATTGTGGGATTGCTCACATTAATATAAGCTAAATGAGTTGGCTACCTGACTGCAGATCAAGAGGCTGAGAGTTTGACTGCCCACTGGGTCTCTCTCAGGATATGAACCAACCTGTGTAGTTTTGGGTAAGTACTCTATACTTAGAACACCCTGGAAAGGATCACTAATAAGTCAGACTTTGACTTGGCAGTATGTAAAAAAGTATTATAATGTAACAACTTTCTCTAAAGAGTTGCTCCTGAGAACAGAACAGGTTGTAGTACTGAGCAACATAGCTCAAGCCCCCAAATTCAGTCTCAGAAATTGCCAGAGAGGAGGATTATGGAAGCAGGTGACCACACTCAGAGAAGTGACTTGTTGTGGACTTCAGCTCCCAGAATCTCCTGATTAGCCATGGTGGATGGGAGAGTCTGGGAGCTTTACTTCCCAAAATGAAACTTTACCAAACCTGGCAAGGGACCTGAAACACCTCTGCTCAACATCTTGGAACTTGCTACCACTCAGGGGAAGACAACACATAGCTAGAAAGCCAAATACCCTGACTGACCTGGTCAGAGATGAATTCCTATGTTACTACCAGAGGAGTACACAATGGAACAGATCATAGGAAGCCCTACGCCAGCCCACCTTTTAATGAAAGGCCCACGCAGGCTTCATCAGAGACATTGATGGAATTTTACTCACCAAGGTATTTTGATTCTAAAAATCAAAATGGTAAACAGAGAACAATCAAGGGCTCACACTTGGATGATTCTAAAAATCAAAATGGTAAACAGAGATCCTGAACAATCAAGGGCTCACACTTGGAATTGCTGCCCCCAATTAAGAGTTCTGAAGAAGAATGTGAATATGGATTTGTGTTACTTCATCATACAGCTTTATGAAGAAATCCCTAAGGGAGGTTGTCAATCTCGAATAACTTCATTTTGGATCTTTCAGAATATGAAAACAAGCTTGAGGGACCAGGGTGTCATTAGAGAGATATAAAATATTATTAGGTCCTAGTCTCTTTTTTTAAGTAATTGGCTACCAAATATTCAAGGTGGCCTCTTAGTGTGGAATGTTTCAGTTTGCTGTCAGACTTAAAAATGGAGAGAGTGGTCCCAGCTATGTGTTTGGAACCCTTAGCTGTTTCCTCCTCAGCTGTTAAAACCATGAAAACCACATGTGAGAATATACAAGATTGCAATCACCATATATTTGCAGAGGCCAAAAATCTCCAGGAGAGAAAAGGCACAGCTTTTCTTGCTTGCTTGCTCCTTCGCTCTTTCTTTCTTTCTTTCTTTCTTTCTTTCTTTCTTTCTTTCTTTCTTTCTTTCTTTCTTTCTTTCTTTCTTTCTTTCTTTCTTTCTTCTGATTAAATATTTATTCTAAGTTTGTCTGAATACTGAAATACTCTTGAAAATACAGTATATAGCTACAGCCTATACTAACACAACACAAGTTTAAAAGCTGTTATTTTGCCTTATTTTAGTAAATGGTGTTCACGGAATTATATAGATGACTAGAACCAATTTGGAACATCAATAGGAAAGATCCTGTCCCAACCATAACTCCTTATTAAATGGAAGGGGTGACCTAGGTCATAGGATTCTCACAGAAACGACTAAAGCTGGACTACAAGAGTTTTTATATAAATGGTTTGGGGAGAAACGTCACCATGACACAATGAAGACCTTAACAGCTCAGGCTGGTTGAACTCTTTGACCGGATGCCACCTGCTGGAATCCACCTCACACATAAACATGTCTCCTCCCTTCACCAACCAGGTCCACAACGTTATACGACCATGCATCAGTTTAAAAGGGATTAATGAGGTATTAGTCCATGTTATATAAACAGCATCTTTTTTCTGCTGGCTTGAAATTCTGAAGGCCTTTCCAAATGAAGGTCTTAGGTTAATTACTGGGCTTCTGTGTTTTAAAGCAGCACGCTTTGCTTTAAGCAGCACGCTTTGCTTTAAACTTATTCTCTTTGTACACTAGTTCAGGATTTATCTAATTCTTTTTATGAAAAGTGATTCAGAATTTAACAGAAATACGGTAAGGTCCTTCACTACAAAGGTAATGCTGCTCCCTCTTAGATCCAAATTTCCTTTTCTCTATCTAACGGTACAGGTTGAGGCTAACCTTGCAGCTAGGGGTACCTAATGGTTAGAGCACAGAACTGAGAGGCACTCACTTAGTGATGAGGATATATCTATATCTCTATCGATCAATCAATAAAGATAGAGATATAGATCTCTCTCTCACACAATGAACATTGGGAGGAGGCTTGAGGTGTGCCTTGCATGGGCACTATCCAGTTAAGTACTCATTCTGCTTGGACAGCCAAGCGGTCCCCTGCCCTTCCAGCAGAACACCTTTGATTGTTGTGCTTGCTGTGGAAAAGAATTACAAGTGACCAGCTGCTGGATGCAAGACTAGCAAATAGCTGTCCCTCACCATCAACAAAAACAGGCAAAATCATCTAGCTGCTTCAACAATACATGTGCAACCAAGGTATCAGGATTATAGCATCTGGAAAGGACCTTTTGGATCAACAATGCAGACATTTCGAGGCACCACATGTCCAGTGCAGCACTTACTAGAAACAGCAAATAAAACCTCTACCTTCTCTACATTCAAAAGTAAATTGACCCCTGACAGCTAGTTGCTGCAAGAACAGCTGCCTCTTTCCAGCATAATTATGAGCCCTATTTCCTTCTTCTCCAGCTTAAATCAAAGTCTGAACCTAGATTCAATGAGTGTGAAAGCCTCCCCCAAGGAATGTGCCCCCAAAGATCGTTCTGCCTTTTAAAAACTGGGATGTGGACAAAGCTGGGGATAGAGCAGCTGCTAGATTCAAGCATGGCTCAAGGAGCTTCTTGTGCTTTCTGCTGTGTGCCAAGCAGAACACAGGTGACCCCAAAAACCCTCCCCTGCCCCATCCCACCACCCCAGCTCTCACCAAGTTCCCCAGGGACTGTGCAGCCAATTAGCAACAGTGGCAACAGCAGCAATGATACTAATATATCACCAGCTATTAAAAAAATAAGGAGAAAACAGAGAAAGAAAGAAGCACTGCAGCACGTTCATGGCCCCCAGCAAAGCTAGCAAGGGGATATGAGGGTACGTACCTCCTGGAGTTTGGGGGGCAGGGAAAGGTAGAGCCAAAATCATGGAAACATACAAAATGAGGGAGAAAAGAAAATTAAAAAACAAAGGACTTTAAAATTTGCTCTTGGTGCACACCCCATGTTGCAGTCAGCCAAGGGAGAGGGTGATGTCCAAGCTAAAGGGATCTGAGTGATAGGGAAGCATTGGCATGGGGGGGGTGCTCATCTCATAATGAGTCTAACACCTCTTCTGTTATGATGCATGTCATCCTCTCCAGTAGAATACTGGAAAGGACCATGCCCACCCTTCATCTTCAAGGTCATCAGGATGCCAAGACCAAAAATAAAACAGCTTCGGGAATTCCTGGAAGAAAAAGATCTCCCGGCTCCTGACTAATGAAAGCCTCATTGAAGCCTCATTAACTTCTTTGCCACAGAAGCAACTGATTGGGCGGTTAGTGGTTTTAGTGCCAAGGCAAGTGAATATTAAAATGATCTGCAGCCAGGACAGCCCCATGGAGGATGGCATGTATCATCAAGGACAAAAGGGGGTCAGTCAGGAGACACCCATAAACCATGTCTGAGACCCTGCCCACGTGAGAAATCACCTCGAGTGGCTACCACCTCAAGTCAGAGCATTGATGGCATGTATCATCAAGGACAAAAGGGGTCAGTCAGGAGACAGCCATAAACCATGTCTGAGACCCTGCCCACATGGGAAATCACCTCCAGTGGCTACCACTTCAAGTCAGAGCATACATAGACTCAACAGTCTCCTCTCAGGGGTTCTGAGCCCCCTTTTTTGTTATCTGCTACCCTCTCTAGCAAGGTAGTAGATAACTATAAAGTTGGAGGATGCTGTCCAGTCTTTTGAAAACTGAGACTGACAGAAAAATCTGAAAATGTGTTCTCAAATGTCCAAGGATTAAAGGAATTTTCCTCAGGTAGTGTTCCTTAGGGCCTTGGACCAGAGGGCAGTCTTAGGAACCAAAGGAATCTAATCTGGGTAACGCTCCTATCTAGATGGAACCAATGCTCAAATATCTCTCTAGGAAAAGGACTCAGAGTAGAGATGAGCATGAACCACCGGTTTGGTAGTTCATGCCAGTTTATCATCTAAGCAGGTGTTTGGTGTTTTAAAGTCCTGCCTCCTCCAGCGGACACCCACAAAGAGGCAGGGAAGCCAGGCTACTCCCTTCGAGTAAGAACCCTGTGGTTCATGCCCATTTCTAACTCAGAGCTCTCTACTTCCTCAACTGCTCCCAAGGAATGGTAGCAACAGAAGGAATGCCCAAGGCGGGGGGCATCAGAAATGGTTTTTCAAGACAATGTCTAGACCCCTTGCATTAGTATTTGCATGATTTGAGTCAGTTTTTAAAATAACACATCAAAACTTTGAAATGCAAACAAACTTCTGTCTCAAAGACAGGCGTGGACATAAATACAGATATGGGGAATGTTTTCTGAGCTAGGAGACATGAGCATTGCAGTTTGAATCTCATTTTAGAATCCTCATTCCTTACTGTTTTAATCAAGATTTGTTTAATTGGAAGGCAAGGACCTTCCATGACCTAAAAGATTATAAAAATCACTGCCAGCTATTGATGGATCGTTTCTAATAGTCATCTCAGTTATAGCATAGTCACGGTCTCTACATTATTTCCATTTAGTTATCAAATACAAATTAAAAATACTAGTTTCAGATGTGGTTACCTTAGTCTCTCCAGGGTCCATCTTGAATGCAGGTACCATATTCGATTAACCTGATCCTCCTCCACTTATTTTATGATACTCTCCCTAAACTATAACTACAAATCCAGATTATACTTTATTCACGGCTTTCTCTCTGGACAGATGCTGTACCTACTCCATAGTTGCCAAATGCACACAAGCTCTGCTTGCTCGGGAACATAAAAACGTCTTTCATTTAATGACAAAAAAAACTTAATCTAATTGCCCCTATAGCTCGGGTATCAATGCTTTTAGAAAAGGTGACCCGAAGGAAGCAAAGGAAAAGTAAATGGAACTCAAGCATGGTGGATGCATTTTCTCATGTGAATGGAATCCTGACTCAAAAGAGTTTCATCCTAGACAATACGAATATGAAGGTATAGCTATGTATAAGAAAACTGAAACATAAATCTGAAAAACAAAAGCCCCAGAGAGCTCCATCCAGGTCGCAAACAAAACTATCCTTAAGGATATTTGTTCTGATGGAGCTTCCAAACCAAGTGTCTTTTCTAGATATAGTTCACAAGACAGGAGTCAGGAAGCTGTGCCTTTCTCTGATACTGTTGAATTACAACTCCCATTATCCTTGATTGCTTGGCCATAATGGAATTGTAGGCCAGCAATATCTGAAGGACCACAGACTCTCCACGCTTGTCAGAAAATGGAAATTACACCATTTGCCAGAAAGCTGAAATATTTTTTTGCTACATAGTACTATAGTATTTGCAACAGTGTTTTCAAGCAGGCATATATTTGCTGCTTCCAAAATTTGTAAGCTTAAAAAGTATGCTAATATTCTTAATTGTGCAAACTGGTAGCCCAGCCTTATTGTGTGAGCAAATCTAGTCTCAAAGATTGCTGTGGAAGCACTTTTCCTTTGCTTATAATCCAGAACACAGCATGGTCATTTATTATACAGCCTTGGCAGAAAGAAATAGAAAGTACGGAATATAAAAAGTGAGGATTCAAACTCAGCTTCAAGTTGCAGTTTAGCTCAGACATCATTCACCAAAAACACACAGGGTTTGCATCTCCACTCTTGGAATCGGAACATCTATTTTTTTTTTTACTTTGATTCACAAAAGCCTCAAAGCAAAATCAGAAAGGTTACATTCATAGATGAATAATTCAATTAATTGCATTCCATTAAAGATTCAGTGATTGCATTTGAATATTCAGAGGACCTGAGTTTTCAAATTTCATTTCCAGATTTAAAGAGATTTAAGAGCCCTAAAGGGAGCTTGGGGGGGGGGCGCAAACGATCCAGCCTGAGAGCCTACTTCAGCCAATTCCTGGGATGACAATGGAATATTCAGAGTAAGCAGAAGGAGGATGGCCAAGTGTTTCACAGGAAGGGCTCGTGAATGCCTTGCGGATGCCATGCATGCATTGCCAGTGTGTGGGATGCGTGAGGCGATGCCAGAGGCTTGCCTGCAATGTGGAGGTGAGAAGCAGGTCACCACAGACAAAATCTCGATCATTAGTTTGGGACATTGGAACCAAGGGGAACCAGATTTCTCCTGTTGTTCGTAAGACCCACAAAGCCAGCAAGTATTTCCCATTTAATGTACTTCCCACCCCCAGATCACAACCAAAACTGGCTGGGCGCACCCAGGTTAAAGAAACCCACAAGAAGTTAGCCAGAACTGCATCTAGACTGCCCCCCGCCCCCGTGGCTATTCAGCCCAAGCAAAGACGATGAGAAGTCCCCAAGTTCTGTAGCAGGTCCTGTGTTCTAAACTGTGTGGCCACCTAGCTCCAAGCTAAGAGAAGTCACCAGACTCCTGCTGAACTCCATGCTCCCTGCAGCCCATGCCACGGCAACAGCAGCCCTGCTTCTGATGACTCAGCCCTTGCTTCATGCAGACCTACTCACCAAGCTTCAGAAGCCAACCTTCACGGTCTGGGTTGAAGAAAGTATGTGTTAGGTCATTGCCATCATCTTCAGGAATTTTGAAGGGCTCATTTTTTATGCTCTCATAGAGATTCTGGCAGAGAGAAGAAAAGGGTCACTTCTACAACAGTTTCCTGTGTCTGTGCAAGTCCAGCTCTTCCCTCCCAGCAAGCAAGACCAAGTTAAGCAGAGACCACAGCAGAGTGGCCAAGAACATGATTTGCATGTAGGAGATCCCATGCTTCATCCCTGGCATGTCTAGCAGTAGGTGACATGGTTAACAATCCTCTCACAGAATTTAACTCCACTCTTAGCTCTCAAAGATTACCCGCAGCAGCTCCTCAGGCAGGTCCCCACCATCATTGATGCCACGGTTCATGGCGATGAAGCGCTCTACAGTTGGTTTGTCCTTGACATTTGGGTTGTGGAGGCTGGTGTTCAGCATGATGATGGCAAAGGAGAGCACATAACAGGTATCTGGGTGCAGAGAGGAATGAAGAGAAGGTAGTGAGGAATTATGGATGATAAGGAACATCCTTTGGGTTCATCAAGACATGAACACAAGTACTGTACAGTGGACCCTTGACTTACAGACGGCTTGACTTACAGACTTTTTGAGTTACAGACTTCTCTGGCTGCAAAACTTAGGTTTGACTTGCAGCCTGAGAATTGACTTACAGACCAGAAAAAAAAAAACAAAATGGATCAAAAACAGCCAGTTACGTGATTAATCGGTTTTCAATGCACTGTAGGTCAATGGAGACTTGACCTACAGACTTTTTGACCTGCAGCCACCGTTCCAATACGGATTAATTCTGTAAGTCAAGGGTCCACTGTACAAGTAATTAGTCTCTTTCCAGCCCTAATTTAAAGGACAGGCTTTAAGCTTTAAAGTCTAAGTGGTTAAGTACCAGACTTTCTAAAGGACTACTGTTTCTTATATATACCTATAATGTTTTCTTCAAGGGTCCTGTTTTAAGTATAACATGAGGCAAGAGCTCAGGGAGCATCAGTAATTTGTGAGCCCTGCATGACTTGGCAGAATAGTTTACCAGGCCATCCCAAATAAGATAAAAAGGTTCTAAACATTTTTAAAATCTCTCTGCCTCAAACTTCATGTGATCTAGTGGCCAACTCTTCTCCACTGTCAAGTACCAAGTCTGAAAATCTGGCATTGGAAGCGCCCCCCCCACATTGCTAGAATCCTTCAGAGAACTCCACTATTCACACACACACACACACACACAAACTTCTACATCAGTTTGCCCAGCCAGGTTGACAATTCACATACCTGTTGACTGGAAGACACCAGGGTTGCATTGACAGTATCGTTGTGCAAATGCTTCCATCATCCGGTCAATCTTTTGTGCTTCACCTGGCAGTCGGAAGCTCCAAAGGAACTGCCTGTGAGGGACCACAGAAAATAAATGTATGTTTAAGCTGGGCTGTGGGTAACGATGCCACAGCAGTTACATTCCTGAACAGATATGAAGATACAGCAGACACATTTAGCCCCTGTATATTCCTATAATCTAGCTGAGACTCATCTCAGCCCCATGGCCCACCTTGTAGCAAGTTCTTTGGTGGAGGAAGAAGAGGGAAATGCAAAATCCACCCAAATGCTGCTACTACATACAGACAACTTGTTTTTACTCACCGCAGTGCTTGCACAAGGTTGAGGTCAGTAAACTCATGGAGCTCCACAAATGAATGCAGCACCTGGATATTGAAGTCATCTCTGCAGATAGAGAAAGAGCATGAATGTGAACAATTCATCTTTCAGATACAATACCTAATACAAACGGTTGCAAGACCCTGTCTGCTGCAGGCTACAACATGCTGTTCCTCCTTTCCTCTACCACAAGGTGTTTCAGACGTCAGACTATGGGACTGTGTAGCTTAGTAGTAACTACTATGATTAACCATGGCTCTCCAGAACTTCAGCTGAGGTCTTCCCCATTGCCTGTTGTTTTAACTTGAGGGGTCAGGAAGTAATCCTGAGACATTAAAATAATTCAGAACTATTCCACTGAATTGCTGTCCTTTCTTTAATGTTAAGAACATCATAAGAATGAGAAAAAAACAAGCATTAGACAGGGTGGACAACTTCTGAGGGTCTGTGGCTACTTTGGGGCTATTTCAAACCCCTGGGTATGAGATGTGCTTACTCCTGCCTGAGATCAGTGTACATTACAATATATCCCAGCCTTTGCTTTTGAGAAGTGACTTGAGTATGCCAGGTGGTCAGGAACAAGGCAGGCAATTTCAGGGCTTTACAAGTCCAACGCAGCCAAAGTAACAGCTGTATCAAGAGCAAGACAGCAGACCCAAATATTTCAATACACACAACCTCACCTGCCATTCCTAGCTCTTTCCCCAACTAGGGTGAACAAATACTGGGTCACAGCTACGTGAAGATTTTGACTGTGGGCCCCTGCTCAGCTGTTCTACATGGGGAATCAAATCCACATGGCACTGGCAAAAGAGCAGGACTCCCTCATGCCCTGAATGTTGCTCAGACATGAGAATCAAAAGCTGCTGTGAAAGAAAGGCAAGAATCTGGCTCAAAGCTCCAAAACTCCCACCCAATTACCTTTCACCCAAGTAGTCACCAATGGCAGTCTTGTTGAGCCCCTCCCCCTTGTAGAGGAACTGGGCAATGTCATCACGTGTGTTCTTCAGGAGGTCATTCTCTATCAGGAACTGGATCCCCTGCAAGCACAGAGAGTAGAGGGCATCACTCTGGATCTATACAGTTATAGTGATCAGGAACTTCTGTTAACACTACTACTCCATGTATAAGCAGTGAATTCATACTACAATCATGAGGGTCAATCATACTGAAGGCAGAGGATCTGGATTGAAGAGTACACTTAAGCCCAATTAAGGAGTTTTGAATTTGAGATGAGATTTGGACTAGTGGGTTTTTTCCCCACAATTCACATCTGAGCTGCTATAAGGTATATCAGCCATCTTGGCATCTCCAGCATGAAGTAGGATTTGCTGCCAGAAGTCCTGTAACCCAAAGCTCCACAAGTCAAGTTCAAATTGACTTGGTTGCTAAGAAACACCCACCCAAGAATAAAGCTTAAAGATGGAATGAGGAAACTATAGGTTTGGGATGTTTGCTTCTTATAAGTAAGAAGACATTGTTCAGTTGGGTAAACAAATTTGTAAAAAGATAGAGGGAGAAGATACACATACAAGAAAGACTGACACATACAGACACAAATCTGAGCAGGGTAACCAAGATGCCAGAAGGAATTTTTGATGAGATCCTTTTAACTCTGCAAGAACAACCCTCTAATGTCTCACAGACCATAACTGCTGCCAGCACTGCAAAAAGGTTACCTTCTTAGGGTCCATGTTGAATTTCTTCCTACCCATTGCCACCTGCTTGTTCCTCTGCATGGTTTTCCTAGATAATATGAAAGGTTTGATGAGAATCCTCCAAATTCACTACCTAAGAATAGTCTGGGATGCTACCTCTTGAGAAGTGATTCTTACAACTTAGGAATGCTCCCAGATGGCCTTTTAATGTGCTATCATACTGGCCCTATTCACTTAATATTACAAGGGGTTTAGACACAGACACCTGTTCTTTATAATACACCCATATTTTCCCACTTCTAATTTTTTTTAAACATTCCACAGAATATCCACAGAGGAAAGCTGGATGAAATAGCTGCACAGTGCCTTCTGACAAATAGAAAAAAGAGCCACCCCAAGTCACAAACACAAGGGAGGATAAGAATTCAGCTTCAGACACTTTTCCATTCCAAACAAGATGTATGATCATCAGAAATTCACCATTTCCACCTTCAAGTCTATTTTGAAATAGAAAGAGGTATATTGGCCAGCCTATATTATATGCCCTCTTAAGTCCTAACTGAATGTAGTAGAGCCTCAATGCTTCCCAGCACAGTGATGCCTGTGGCAGAGAAGTAGCTCTAGAGCAGTGGTTCTTAACCTTGGGTTACTCAGGTGTTTTTGAGCTGCAACTCCCAGAAACCCCAGCCAGCACAGCTGGTGGTGAAGGCTTCTGGGAGTTGCAATCCAAAAACACCTGAGTAACCCAAGGTTAAGAACCACTGCTCTAGAGGAAGAGAGGTATCTAGTCAATACTGCATGTGTCCCTATCAAATAAGGAGCCAGAAGAGCTTCCTGGGTTGCCCTGCATGATAAAGCTTGCCCTCTGCATGGAGGGGCCTAAGAAACTGTACTGATTGAAAGAGACATCACATGTCAGTTTCCATTGACAAGTCAGGGCACCTAATCTGCAGGTGATTCCATCCGCCCCAGTTCAGAGTAACAGCCTGTGACAGGGAATCTGGTGCCAGATGGGCAAGCGAGGCCAGGCCTAAAAGAGTTGTGTGCTGCAATGGAATGGAATGAAATGAGACCTCCTGCCACAGGTAATGCCAGAGATCCCATGATGATATTAAGAGCAGCATGGAAGCATTTAGGACTACATCACTACCTCCATGAGTGAGCACTAAGGACACACACATGCAGGCAGAGCATGTCCAGCCTAGAGGTATTAAACATGGCGCAAAGTTCCTGCTCTCCTTAGCAATCAAGACAAACATATCAATTATGAAGGCATTTGGACCAAGGGCATTTCACTTCTCTTTTTATTTTAACCAACAGAACAGACAATATAGAATATTGTGTGATAGGATTGGGAGTGTCTTTTTTGAGTGTTAGCACTTAATTATATATCTAAGCTTTATTTAATTACTTAATTGCATTTTTATCCTGCATAACTAATGTTGAAGCCACTACTCTGAGCAGCTAGCAAATCAAGATCAAAATACCACCATCACAACAACAAAAATCCAAATAAGGCATCATACTCTAAAAATACAGTAATTTTCAAAGAGAAGCAATAAAATTACAAGAATAATAGACTGCCAGCAGAGAGAGGTTCACAAATTCCTGTTTGTCCATTTATGTTTTTTGTAGCCACTCAGAATAGCAGCTTGCCACTAGATGGGCAGGGTATAAGTCCAATGAATTAATAATCAAATAACACTTACGTACATTTGGGCTCTGCTGTATACTAAAGTTCAGACATGATCTCCTTGAAGAAAAACTCTGATTCTTTGACTCTGTATGTTCCTTAATGCCAGAAATCCTTCCAGCTGTTCCGCAAATCTTTCTGCAGGCTATTCACTGTATTCTCTCCAGCATCCACTCGCATAAAGCAATTAAAACCAGGCCCCTACATGTCTTCTTCCCTACCTCTTCAAAAGAAGCATCACTCACCTTTCTTCTGTTGAGCCCAGGTTCTCGATTTCATTAGTCACCTCTGCTATCTCATCTTTCAGACGCTGGGGGAAAAGTGCAAGGAAAAAATGAATGAAGAAGAAATTGAGTTTTTCTTCAGCTAGCAGGCAAATAGGGGACAGTATTAAACAGATCTCTATCCCTGTCTGACCTTTATGCTTTTCTCCAACCTCATTAATCTAGATTGGTAGATGAGCAATGACTAGGGAAAAGTGGGAGGAAATATAAATAAGAGACAGTAAAAGACAAGTACCATGTATGCCAGAAGAAATGTCTTAAGACATCATCACTAAAACCTAAGAGCCTGCTAAATATAAATAAGAGACAGTAAAAGACAAGTGCCTGCTGGGCATAAACTCAGAGAAACAAGAGCACAAGGCTACATTCACAGATCTAATAGGCAGAACTCTCCTTCCTGCCCAGGGAGATACCTTGTTCCCCACTCCACAGTCTTCACTACTCATCTGTGAGAGCCAAAGCCAATGCCTCCTACAGGTACCCATTCCTCTCAGATGGAGAGAAATGCATGTCTGCCTCTTCTGGCTCAGAGACAAACAGGGGTGTGGATGCCAGCCTCTGGGAGGCATCATGAGGCTCAGCTCCTCCAGAAAGAAAGAGAAAAAGAAAAGGAAGGAAGAAGAATGAGCCCCTGGGGCTAATGAAATTACTGGGTTAATCTCATTAGGAAATGTCCAGCATATGGTAGTGATTAGCCTCTGCCATGGCCTTATTTACTGCTGATGGGATTGATGAGCATCCCTGCCAAGCACAGTGTCTGTAAGCAACCTGACACAGGGAACTAGTATCCCATGCCAGAGTCACAGGGTGGGTGTGGGTCTAGCTATCTCATAGAGAGTGCAGTGACTAAGTGAACTTCAGAGACTGGGGGACAAGGGAAGACACTTAGCATCACTCAGGAACACACATCCCCTTCTTGGACAATGGAAATGATGACATCCTTGTCTTATAAGGGAAGAACAGAATAGTGCATGGTTAGAGAAAGGGACATGAAAGAAAAAAAAGTTCCTTTACAAAACCCTCACCCCAGCCTCTCTCAGGGCCACCCAGAAGATTGACCTGACAGGTGAGAGTTAGAGACAGAGAGTTAGAGATAAGGGAGGAGGGATTGCCTCCACACCACCTTCATGTTTAGAGACTGAATCCCCACTGGCGAATTGCCGCCCTGGCCATTTTTCACCCCTTTCTACCCTTGTTGGAATGGCCACAAGCAGTCTCCTTGCTGATCTGTCATGACACATCCCCATGCCCCTGCTGTGCAAATCTTCAAGGATGGAGGACAAAGAATGGCTTCCATCCATTGGAAATGGACGGGGGAGGGGAATTGGGAACATCCAGTGCTTCATTTCCAAAGCAAGAAATGTGATAACACCAACCCACTGAGAATTGTTTGCTGTTAATACAAAAAAAATTGGGGGGGGGTTGTTGGTGTTTCACAAAGACAAGATAAAGGAACTCTGCTCATGCTTAAAAGCACACCTTTATTTTTATTCAAATTTCCAAGGCAAAGCCATGGCAATGTAGAAATTTCAGGCCCCAAAGTAAGGGAAATAAACAGCCAGAGTCTATAAGAACTGCCCAGCTTTCTTTGGGAGGGGAAGTAGCACATGGTAGAAAGTATTGTCATGTCTTGTGTCAGGAATGGCACACACAATTCCTATTGTTTAACTACTTGGATGCAGTTTTACAGCAAGTCAGGCTATCTAATAGAGTGTTGTCTCTACTAACTGACAGCAACATCTCCAAGATTTCTTATAGGGTGTGTTTCACCTTTTCTTGCCCTACCTGGACTAGGAACCTTTGGTGTGCATGTACAATTTATGCTCTACCATCGTGCTCTAGCCCTTCTATTTGCTACCAGTGCACTCACATCCCACACCACACACCTGTATGTCTGCCAGCAGTTCCTGCTTGCGCCGACGTATGTTCTCAAGCTCTTGGCACTCTTCAGGGGTCAGGTCACTGGGCACTGTGACAGGAGAGAGTGAGGGACAGTCATTTATAAGTGGATCTATATTTTGACGTGATCTACTGCAACTAGGACACCCAAAATACTATTTTGAGATACTGTATGTAGCATACAATTGTCTAGCACACATGTTTCCAAACAGTCTGCTTACATTTCATTCTTGAATATTTAAGGCAAAACCAAGCATTCTGGATATGAAATATTACCATAGCATGCTCATAAATGTCCTAAAGCATCAAGCTACCCACTGTCAGAGACAGAATGCCAGTGTTTCTCTGATGCAACAAGAACAAGTTTCTTGATACTTGAGGGGTTCTTTCTAGTGGTCATAATACAAGGGAAGATCTACTTGGTATTAAATTGCAAATAGCTTCTAGTTTCCTTAGACGCAGACCACTGCTTCCATTCTCCTTATACAGTGGTGCCTCGCTTAACGATTACCTCGTTAAACGATGAATCCGCTTGACGATGAGGTTTTTGCGATCGCTTTTGCGATTGCAAAATGATGTTTTAAAGGAAAAATTCACTTAATGATTGTTTCCCTGCTTCAGGAACCGATTTTTCGCTTAACGATGGTTTTAAAACAGCTGATCGACGGCTCTCAAAATGGCCACCCGCTGTGCAAAATGGTTCCCCGCTGTTTTTAGGATGGATTTTTCGCTTTACAGGCACCCGAAAATGGCCGCCCTATGGAGGATCTTCGCTGGACAATTAGGTATTTAGCCCACTGGAATGCATGGAACTGGTTTTGAATGCAATTCAATGGGCTTTTTTATTTTGCTTGACGAGGATTTCACTCTACAGCGATTTCGCTGGAACGGATTATCCTCATCAAGCGAGGCACCACTGTACTGCTACCTGAGTTTTGCATAGTAGGTTACAGGGGCCTGTGTGAGATCATAAACCACGAAAGCATACCTTGAACACTAGGCTAATGATACAAATGAGATCCTCTTTGAAACAAGAGTGAGTAAGGAAGGCATTGCATTATTTTATGAAGAAAAGCAACATGAAAACCATGCAAACAAAGTTATTGGGAAGGTTAATGCAACTGTAGATAAAGCATTAGAGGAACTATCAAGACAAAATGAATACCCTTAAGTTTCCAGAAGCAGCTCATGTTCAACATGCGGTTTACTCCTAAGCATTTATGTAACAACTGAACAGTAGAGAGAAGTCCAACAGATGCAGTTTCTTTCCTCAGAGCACAGTGATGCCAGTAGCAGCAGAGCAGAATGCCAATGTCCTTTCTATACTGTCATTGATAAGGCCCAGCTCCACCCATCTAGCTTCTATTTCTCAAAAACTCTTTCTCTTGCATGTGTATGCATATCGGCAGGGATGAGGGAAACAGCTTTTTATTCAGCCAAGGTTCCTGAGGGTGGGTTGCATGTTGTAGCCAACAAAGCCTACTCCAATGAAGTACCAGGTACACCACAGTAAGACTCCTGGGTCCCAGGGCTTTCACAATCCTCCAGAATGAATTGGGGCTGCTGCAGCCATCGGCACAGAGCTGGCCTGAAAAACCCAGTGCTAGAGCTGAATCTGATTTTTGCTGCCCCTTGAAAGGGCCCCCCAAATGCAGGGCTTATAGATGTCCAGCATTTTATGTGGACGTGCTTTGCATCTACTAGGCTCACACTCGCTGCAGGTCACAGAAGAAACAAATAATTTGACTCTTCTTATAGAAACCTGAGGCCAAGCAAAATGGAAGTGCTTAGGGAGACCAAGTAGGATGAGGGCTGCACGGCAAAAGGATGAACTTTTATGGCATGCTTAGCTGGCCACATGTACTCCAAAAAGGAGACTCCATACCGGGTAGCTGAAGAAGACAATGCATTTGGGAACTTTGGCCTTGCACCTATTTGATGGAATTCTGCACAGTGGGGTTTCACTTGTGCATCAGGGCAAAAGATGGGCATTCCCCTAAATACCACTGAAGGAACGTGTGCAATGCTCGGCTTTGTCACATTTTAGTCACTGGGGAGAAGAGATGTCTCTTGAATTGGCCCTGCCAGGGTTTCTGCTGATTTAGTTGGCTGAAAATGGGACAGGCACGGCAGAGCCCAGAGGCCAGTATCATTAGAGGATGGATTCTACCATTCGTTCCGCTATTCCACCCAGACTGGGAGGACCATGTGATCTTCTGGGAGGCATCATTCTATCCAGCCAGGGGAAGAAGGGATGGCAAGCTCCTTTGCACCTTAAAACTCTGCCTGGAGGAAGCAGTGGGGGTGTCCCTGTCCTTACTGGAAGCACAGACCCGCAGTTGGGATGGTGAGTCCAACCCTAGCCTTGAGCCTTTTCCAGAAAGATCAGAGTTCCTGACACAACAAAGCTCCATTGTAGGGCTGCAGGAACAGAGAAGCCAAACAAGGGAAGTGCCTTTTCGTTTGCTTTGCAGTTGGACACGAGGGCAGGAGCCCAGAGCCAAGCTTACTGCAGCCGCAGAATACAAAGAGACTGCTCTTAAAATGACACTGCCTCCTCACTTCCAGTGTGTATGTGTGTGTGTGGATGTGTTTAATTTCCAAAAACTGTTGTCTTCTATATCAGGAATTTTACAAAAGCACAGTGCAAGATCACATGGAAGCCCCATTCCCACCCACCCCCCAAAATACAAGGGACTCTATAGCAGACCTCATTATCAGGCATTTGTGGCCCTTACAGGAGTGCATTTTATTTTCTTAAAAAGCGACCCATAGACATACTGGGAGCACCTCTAAACATGCAGAAATATTTGCCAAAGAGGAAAGGATATCTTTTCCTCTTCCTTGAGAAAGTCAAAGTATTTCCTGGGCACCTGGAAAGTGCCTGTGTGAGAGGAATATTTTCTTGGCAATATGATGATTGTGATATTTGATTCTTCCCCTTTGTTCTTCTCTTGCACTCTTTAGATGGTAATACCAGGGTGGGTTTTATTTAAATTGCCATTTAAATTTTTAAAATTTTGAAAAAAAAATGACAATTTAAATTTAAAAAAAATTAAAACAAATTGTGAGTTACATTGTGATTTAAATCAATTTCTTTAAAAAAATCACTGACTTTTATCCACCCTGGGTGGTGCTCATCAGCTCCAAGACACATTGCTTAAGGAGTAACCCCAAATGGTAGTTATTTATCAGAAAAAGAGTTCTGAGTTCTGCTGTGCAGACACCAATCTTCATGGTTGCATACACCTTTGATTCACACTCTATTCAGACTGCCAATGCATTTGGTTACTTCTGTGTCAAAATCTATCAAGCCACCAATCCCAGAACCACTGTGCTGTGTTGCTTCTTGTGCAACAGCCCAAATTCTGGCTACAGACACTGTTTCTCAATTGGAATCCAACAGCAAATAGAGAAGACAGTCATTGTATTTTTTAATATCCATTGCCTGTATTCATCAAACACAGGCAAAAGCTCTTAGGATGCAATAGTACAATCCCTCTCATGTACCTCCTGATTCCTTTGTGCCTTCCTCCTAAACTGTGTATGTTCTGTTCAAAGATGCCTCCACTGAATCAAGTACAGTAGTCAGTAGGAACACCTACTGGACTGGAAAGGGAGGAAAAGGGCAAAGAGGGTACCTTCCTACTAATGGAATATAAAGCACGCTGCCATATATGCAGGGACATATTTGACTTCATGGATTATTTGGCTGCAACAAATAATCAGCTGCCAATTGACAATGTCTGACTGGTCAATTAACAAAAACTGCAACTGTACCAAAGTCACTACTACATACAAAGATTTTGAATTGTAACCTCAGATAATGGAGTTCTGGATTAAACATTAAGAAGAATATCCTGATGGTGAGAGCTGTTCAACAGGTAAGGTTTTACCAGTGGAATGGAAGATAATAGATTCTCCTTTCATTTTATGTAGTACAGCATTCTTGACAGATTGGACTGTCATCTGTCAAGGATGATGTACTACATAAAACGAATGAAGGCAGTCAATACACTTGAGGAGAATCTTATCAAGTAGTTGGACTGAAAAGAGTGCTGGCTTCCATGACATGTGCCAACCAAACTCTTTAACAGAGCTATTCACTGTCCCAAAGTCAGGGATGGAGAACTTGTAACCCTTCAGATGTTACTGAGACTTCATCTCCCATCAGTTCCATGAAGTCTGGCAAATGGTAATGGATGATGGTCTTGTAGCCAGATGGGCAGTATAGAAATCAAATGAATAAATAAATAACTAAAATAAATAAATAAATAAATAAATCATCAACATCTAGAGAAGGCCAGGTCTCAGTTCCACCTTGTATTTCATTCTCTTCTCGCAAGATCAGGCAGTCTTGGCTCCAAGTTCTAGCCACATTTTCTTCCAATACAGCCTTGCTGGTGGCAGTGCTTTTCCTGAGTGTAGCTCAGTGTTGTTTTCTGGGCTGCAGTATAGAGTTCCTCATGTAAGCTCAGATGAGAAAAACACACCCAATAAGATCCCTTCCTGCTTCCTCAGTTTCATGTCTGTAAGTTGAACCAAAAGGGTATGAGACACCCACCTCAAGTTGTACCCTAGCCTGCAGAGAGAAAAAATATATAACCAGGAGCAACCAATTGCTCAGTCAGGGATAGCCAATATCAAACAGTCCTACCTAACTCCCCAAAACTCTCCTCTGGCCCTCTTTGGTTTAATGCATCCATTTCTATGTGCTGCCCATCATCCAGATGTTTTGGACTGTAATTTCAATCAGTCCTAGCTGCCATGACCAGTGGTCAGGGATGACGGCAGCTCCAATCCAAAATTCCAGAGAGTATCTAATTGAGGCAAGCTTGCATGCAGAGAGGTATATGGAAATAGGAAACACAAAGCAAATCAAGTTTCTTTACACTCAGTCCACTGCTCTTCATAATGTTCAGTGCCAATCTAGGTAGGATTGTCAACTAAAGAATAAGAGTTATAAACATCTAGAAATCCTGGGCAGATGCAATTTATAGGGCTCTAAAAGGTCACACAGCTATTCCCCTTTCCACTGTTCTCCTTCAAACACGTTTTGCTTAAAGGCCC